CCTCATGCTGCCGTACCTGTTCCCTGACCTTGCTGCCTTTCCCACAGTCGCTGACCTCATTACGCACCTTCGCACTACACTCGCTACCGCGCTGCGCTTCCTGCTGAGTTCTGTGCCACGAACCCCCCCCCCATGTACATCACCCTCTACTACATAGTCACCCGGCTCCCTGACTCCCTTCGCTTAGTCAGGGACCAATTCCTCTCAGTTTGCCCCACCACACTCACCGTTGACCTCCTCGAGGAGCGCCTCCTAGCAGCAGAGAAGAGCATAGTCGCTGTAGGAGCCTCTCGTGGTGACCCTCGCACCCCCGTCTTTGAGGGGTGTTCCCCCTCCCCCCTCTTGCCCTCTGTTGCTTCTGCTGCTGCGGCCGACCTCGGTGGTTTCGAGTCGGTCGGCGCTGTGTCTGCCCCTAGCGGGAGACGCCGCACTGGCAAGGGCAAGGGGGGCAAGGGCGCTGGAGGGGCTAGCGGGGGCGGTGGAGGTGGTGGTGGAGGCAGTGGAGGGGGTGGGGGTGGTGGTGGGAGTGGTGGCGGGGGTGGAGGTGTCGGCAGCAGCAGTGGAGGCGGAGGAGGCGGCGGCGGTGGCGGAGGGAGCGGAGGCGGCGGAGGTGGCGGAGGCGGCGGAGGTGGCGGAGGCGGCGGAGGCAGCGGTGGAGCTGGTCGCGGCTTTGCGCAGAGGAGTGGCTCCGGTGGTGGTCAGCGCCAGCAGCAGCAGCGCAGTCGTGAGATTCCGTCCCCCCAGCAGCTTCGTGAGTGGTACGCTGGGCGTCAGCGAGGTGGGGGTACTGGTCCCTGCACCTTCGTCCTCCGTTCCGGCGACCGCGCTGGTAAGCAGTGCGGGGGCCCGCACTCCACCCAGCGCTGCTTTGGCCGCCTGACGGACGCGTGGCGTCACCAGTTCCCTGACGCCACTGAGATCTCTCGCTGGGGAGAGCTGTCTCGGGCGGGGGTTGCTATCTTTGATCTTGATTATGATGCTATTCTTGCTGCCATGTATGCTGTGTCTACTAGTGATGAGGGTGACTGTTACCTGTGTCTTCCGCTTGACCCGGGCATTGAGGCTGCTGCTCTAGGTACTGGTGAGACTGCTGCTCTAGGTGCTAGTGCGTCTGCTGCTCCAGGTGCTGGTGAGTGTGCTCTCTTAGGTACCACGTCGGCTCAGGCCTTCCACACCTTCACCCTTGACTCGGGTGCTTCCCGCTCCTTCTTTCGAGACCGCACCACGCTTACGCCGCTTAGTCGGCCGGTTGCGGTCTCCTTGGCGGACCCCTCTGGGGGTCCTGTCCTTGCTAGCTTCTCCACTGTCTTACCGTGCCCGGCAGCCCCTTCTGGCACCCTGTCAGGTCTCTACCTCCCCTCGTTCTCTACGAACTTGGTGAGTGGAGCTGATCTACAGGATAAGGGGGTTGACCAGTTCACTCCTGCGAGTCAGCGGGTGACCCACTGCACGTGTGCTCGGACGGGCCGACACTTGGCCACGTTTACCCGTTGGCCGGGGTCGAGCCTGTACACACTGACTACTGAGTCTCCTCCGGTTACTGAGTCTGGTCAGGTAGCTGCGTCGAGTCAGGTGTTTGCTGCAGCGTCCAGGTCTGGTCCTGAGTCCGCGCCCTGCTTGTGTCGTCTCCTGTCCCACCAGACTCTCCTCTGGCACCACCGCCTTGGTCACCCCTCCCTGCCTCGTCTCCGAGGCATGGCCTCCCGTGTCCTTGTCTCTGGTCTCCCCCGGTCCCTACCTCCCCTACCTCAGGGGCCTGCCCCTACCTGCGTCCCCTGCGTCGAGGGGCGACAGCGCGCCGCCCCTCACTCCTCCGAGTTTCCTCCGACAGAGGCTCCACTGCAGACTCTTCACATGGACGTGTGGGGCCCCGCCCGCGTCCGTGGCCAGGGTCACGAGCGTTACTTCCTGTTGGTGGTTGACGACTACTCGCGTTACACCACGGTGTTCCCCTTGCGCAGCAAGGGTGACGTCACTGAGGTGTTGATCGACTGGATCCGCGCAGCTCGTCTCCAGCTCAGAGAGAGTTTCGGCTCGGACTTTCCTGTTCTGCGTCTGCACTCTGACAGAGGCGGGGAGTTTTCCTCTGCCCGTCTGGGAGCCTTCTGTCGTGCAGAGGGCATCCGCCAGACCTTCACGCTTCCGGCCTCTCCACAGCAAAATGGGATTGCTGAGCGCCGCATTGGCATGGTCATGGACGTCGCTCGTACGTCCATGATCCATGCGGCTGCCCCCCATTTTCTGTGACCGTTTGCGGTTCAGTACGCAGCGCATCAGCTCAACCTTCAGCCCCGGGTCTCCTTGCCAGAGACCTCCCCCACCTTGCGGTGGACCGGGAAGGTTGGCGATGCGTCTGCGTTTTGGGTCTGGGGATCTCGGGCGTTTGTCCGCGACTTGTCTGCGGACAAGCTGTCCCCCCGTGCTGTTCCCTGCGTCTTCCTTGGCTTCCCCCCTGACGCACCTGGGTGGCAGTTTTACCACCCCACCTCGCGCCGTGTTCTGTCCTCCCAGGACGTCACCTTTGACGAGTCGGTGCCTTACTACCGTCTCTTCCCCTACCGCACTGCGCCCCTCCCCCCGCCGCCGCTCTTCCTTGCGCCAGGTCCTCCCCCGGTAGACCCCCTCCCCCCTCAGGGTCCTGCCCCGTCAGGTGTGTCCCAGGTAGACGCAGTCGAGCCTGTCAAGGTAGCTGTTGACTCTGGTACTGCTAGAGGTGCTGAGCCTGCGGGTGCCGGGTCTGGGGGTGCTGAGTCCAGGGGTGTGGAGCCTGGGGGTGCTGAGCCTGGGGGTGCTGAGTCTGGGGGTGCTGAGCCTGGGGGTGCGGAGCCTGGGGGTGCTGAGCCTGGGGGTGCGGAGCCTGGGGGTGCTCGGTCTGCTCGTGTGGCCTCTCGCGGTGCTTCGTCGAGGCGGGAGCTACTCTCTCCGCAGGAGCTGCGCGAGTGGTTTGCCCGGCGCTGGAGCCGTGCTGCTGAAGCCGGAGGTACTACTGTTGCTGCTGGTCCCGGAGGTGCTCGTACTGGCGGTACTGGAGCTGCTGGGACTACAGGTGCTGCTGGGGCTGCTGGAGTTGGTCCTGCTGGAGGTACTGCTGGAGCTGCTGGCGGTGCTGGAGCTGCTGGTCCTGCTGGAGTTGGTCCTGCTGGGGCTGCTAGAGCTGCTGGAGCTGGAGCTACTGGGGGTGCTGGCGCTGGTGGTTCTGCTGGCGCTGGTGCGTCTGAGGGTGCTGGTGTTGGCGCTGTTGGCGCTGGAGGTGCTGCTGGCGCTGGTGCTGCCGCTGGGGGTACTGGTGCTGTCCCTGCTGGTTCTGGAGGCGCTGCGCGGCCGAGGCCGTACTTCGTTCCGCTCCTTGAGCAGGTTCTTGGTCTCCCACCCTCAACTGGTCCTCCTCCTCCCTTAGAGTGTCCACCGCCTGTCCAGTCGCAGTCACAGTTGCAGCCCGCCTCTCCCCTACCTGCTCCCTCTCCCTACACTGGTCCTACTGGAGGTCTTGCTGAGCGTCGTGAGCCTGCGTCTCGTCCTGCGTCGCCTGTTCGTGCTGCTCGCACTAGTGGTCGCGCTCCGCGTCCGCGTCCTCCTGCGGTCCCAGGCACACACCGGATGGCACTGCATCTTTCCACTGCTCCTCTGCATGTCCCGTTGCCGTCTCCTCCAGAGTCCTCTCTTCCTGTTCTTGCTGACCCGGCGTCTGACTCTCTTCGTGCTGCCAGTCCTACTGTCACGCGTCTCCTGACTACTGTTGGTGAGGAGGAGGAAGCTGGTGGTGGTGCACAGGAGGAGAGCAGAGGAGAGGCGGCTGGAGGAGAGGAGAGAGGAGGAGGAGATGCGGCTGTAGGAGAGGAGAGTGGAGGAGGAGATGCGGCTGGAGGAGAGGAGAGGAGAGAGGAGGAGGAGATGCGGCTGGAGGAGAAGAGGAGAGGAGAGGAGAGGAGAGGAGAGGAGAGGAGAAGAGGAGGAGGAGAGGAGAGGAGAGGAGAGGAGAAGAGAGGAGAGGAGAGGAGGTGGCTGGCGCGGCAGAAGCTCTCCCGTCACCCCCTCATCCCCCTCCCCCCCATGCGCTGGCGCTGGCGGAAGTGCTGGCGCTGGGCGCTGGCGTCGCGCTGGCGCTGGCGCCCGCCCTTGGCGCTGGCGCTGGCGCCCGCCGTTGGCGCTTGCGCTGGCGCCCGCCGTCGCCTCGCTGGCACGCTCGCCACTGGCAGAGCGCGACGGGGCAGGCGAAAGGGGGCAGCGCGACGGGTGCTGCAAAAGCAGCGGATTTCGAGCCAGCAGCGGATTTCGCGCTACTAGCAGTAGCAGCCATGCCAGCAGCACAATAAGTCGCCATGGCAGATCGCGGGTTTGGTGGGCCCATGAAAAACGAGGTCCTAGGAGGGACCACTCTCTGATATCATGTTAAGATTAGGAGATTATGCAGTACTTAGGTTTAGGAGAGGTTTAGTAAGGAGAATCATGGAGGGAGAAGTTTGGCCAAAAGAGAGACTTTCATTATGAAGTTGGGAGTACAAATAGGAAGGAGAGGAAGGGGAAAAGGGTACACCACCAGCAGTTGAACCTAATATCTAACTAATACACTAGCAAGATGTAGGCAGTTATAACAGGATATGCAAATATAATTCAACACGAAATTGCTGTTGGGCTGAGAAAAGCCCTTAGGATCTTTGCAGGACTAAATTCTGAGTACCGTATTCTCCCGGATATAGGACCCTCCCGAAAAAAAGACCCTCAGGACTTTTGAACGGTACTGGGACTCTTAATATGTAGCATATGTGAGAGGACCCCCCCTAAGCTTATAATCAGTATAAGACCCCCCCCCCTTCCCCTAGGGGAGGGGATTCTGTTAAAGAAACCATTGCCCAACAGTTTAGAATTAATACTGCACTTGGATCCACACTAGACACGATGTGAAGGCATGGAACGAGTCAATACTACGGTACATCAAGCAACGCAGTCATACACATCTACGGTCCGGCTTAGCTAACCTTTCTCTTGCACCCCCCTATTCCCTACTCCACCTCGTCCTCCTCCACGTCTCCCCACTCTGCCTCCCCCTCGATCTCCTCCTCCTCCTCCTCCGCCTCCATCTCGGCATCCTCCTCCTCCTCCTCCTCCTCCTCCTCCTCCTCCTCCTCCTCCTCCTCCTCCTCCTCCGCCTCCTCCTCCTCCGCGGGCATGTCCCCACAGTCCTCGTCGTCCGCCTCCCGGGCAGCTTCCTCGTCGTCAGCAGTCGTGGTGTAGAGGGGGTTGACCCACTCATCCACCAAGGGGGAGGAGTGGACGTCCTCTCCCACCTCGACCTGGCCAGCATCCCGCATGTGCGCCAGGACGAGGTGATCCTGGCTGCCGTCAACGGCGTTGCTGATGCCGGTGGTCAGGAACGCCTTGACGATGATGTGCTCCGGCACGTCGCTCCATGACTGAGCGATCCACTTCAGCACCGTCTCAGCGGGGGGCCTCTTCAGGTTCCCTACAAGGTCGACCAACGCACACAGATTCGAGTGAGTGTGTTTATTGTGTCAACATGTGCTCTCACTTTGTTGCGGTTTAGAACCCTTAAGGTACACGCACCTGCGGGGGTGAAGCTGTTCACCCCTTCATCGGCGAACCAGTCGTTGTAGAACGTGCGCAGTCCCGCCTTAAAGGAGCGGTTGATGCTCACGTCAAGGGGCTGCAGCAGGGGCGTGCACCCCCCCGGGATGATGGCGGGGATCACACGGTGCCACCTGAGCTTCGCAAGAACGCCGTCCGTGATGTGTCCACGGTAGGAGTCCAACACCAGGAGGGTCTTGGACCGACGGATGCCACGAGGCGGCTTGATGAAGGGGAGAAGGACGTTGTTAACCCAGTCGTCGACGAGTTTGCTGTCCATCCACCCCTTCTCATGAGCGCGGATGATGACACCTGCATACGAGAAACACACAAGTGCACGGGGAGATAGTTAAACGTACTGAGGTATCACCCACCGCGGCTTCAGGGCCAATACGAAAATTACCTGGTGGCACGCGGATCTTAGGGATGGTCTTGCGCTTGAAAATGACCATCGCTGGGAGCTTGCGTCCGTCCGCCGTGACGCCCAGCATCACGGTCACCCGTTGCTTCTCGTACCCCGCGCTGCGAACGTGCACAGACTTCTCGCCGCGATGGTGAAGAGTCCGGTCGCACGGCATCTCCAAGAACACAGGGGTCTGGTCCGCGTTTATGACGTTCCACGTGTCGATGCTCCACTTGATGACGTTCCGCCGTGCGAACTCCCAGAAAGACTCGCATTTGGGCTTGCAATCTGCAAACGAAAAAAAAAAAAAAACGGTAAACGAAGTGACTCACCCAGGTAAACAGCGGGAGGCGGCTTATACACTAACACGGAGGGTCAATGAGTCGCGAAGCAAATTATACATACCCTTCGCGAGGCGCTGCCTGATCTTCGTCTTCACACGGATGGCGAGGCCCCACCGTGCACGGAAGCGAAACGTCCAGCGCGCGGAGGCCATCCAAGCGACGTCCGGGTGGTGGTGCTTCATGAACGTCCTGCTCCACTGCCTGATGAGCTTGATCGGGACCGCTAACCCCCTGCCGCGGAAGTTCAGGAGCTTCTTGTACACGGCCTGCTCCATGTCGGGGTATTTCGCCCGCCGACCGCCACCCCTCAGCCGACGCCTGCACGGTGCAGCCTTTTCGATCTCCTGCGCGATCCTCAGCCAACGGCGGACGCTGATTGGCTGAACCCCTGCAAGACGGGCCGTGTGACGAATTGACAGATTCTCGTCTTTCATCCACAGAAGCCACTGCCACTTCTCACCCATGGTGCGCGCCGTGCGACGGTGCGTACTCTTGCGAGAACGCGGACTTGCAGGCGCGGCGTCCTTCGTTGCCTCGGGACCACCTTCATCGTGGACGAGGTCTTCGGGAAAGGTGGGGATGGGGAAGTCGCCAACACCGTAGGCCGCCTCGTCGGTCTCATCGCGGTTTTCGCTGACGTCTTCTGGCGCGGGAAAGCCCTCCTCGTCCGGGGGCTCGAAGAGAGGCCGGTCCTGGTGGGAAACGAAACCCGGGGAAAACACGGGTGGCGCAGGCGACGCCGGTGGAGCAGGCGGGGCAGGAGGTGCGGGAGGCGCAGGTGGTGCTGACGGATGCGGGCTAGTAATCACAACGATGGCCGGCCGCGATGAAGTCATCGAGGCACGGCGCGTACGCCAAGGGCTTTCGAAAGCCGACATGGTGGAACTCTATTGCTAAACTATCGTACTTGGGGCGCATGACGACCTACTAGCGCCATGAGCCGTTCTTTGTAGTGCGGCTGAGCTAACGAAGTGAATCAAAAGCAATAGACACAGCGCTGGGGTACGATGTGACAAGCTCGGCTGCTTGTTGGAGTTGTGAGGGATCCGTTCCGCACCACGTCCAGAGCCTGTCCCTCGCTCTGTCGCTAAAGGAACAGACGTGATGCAAAGGGGGGGGGGGGGGGGGGGGGGGGGGGGGGGGGGTTCTGGATGTGGGCACCTGAGGGAACCGCACACTCAAGATGCTTTGCGGTTCGCCTCGAATGGTGTGATTTCCGCCGTCGTGCCTAGTTGGACGACGCGTGTCACATGCGATATGAGGTTCGGAGTGCTGTAAGCGGTGGATTTGGACGTGCAAAATAAAAGTCCCCCCCCCCCCCCCCCCCAAAAACGAATGGTACACCCTAAATCGCATAACTGTACTTGATTAATAAGTATACCCGGGTCTTATACAACTCGTTCCGATTAAATGTTCACCCTAACCAATTTGCCTCTATTTTAGGAAAGTCCCCCGGGTCTTCCGGGAGAATAAGGTAGGACAATGTAATAGCGGAAGCGTTTAATGAGAACTTTGTGAACCACCTTGCGCTAGTATGTGAGGGCAAAGTAGATTGATTAAAGCAAAGAGATACAAGTTTTTATATGAGTACAAGGAATACGAAGAGATATAGTAAATAACCGTTTGCTGTTGCTGTTGCGGTTCGATACAGTGACGACTCGGGCAACTGCTCAATAGCGAGTCAGTTGTTTGTCCTTGCTGTCGCGCTGTATTTGTCAGGTCAAAGGTCGCTGACCTTTGACTTTCGCATAACCTCCAGCAGTTGTTCAACCTCCGAGGGTTGACTCGCTAATGCTTCGATATGTTTTGCTTCGCTTCTGACTTGGTGTTTCGACACGACAGAAGCGCTAAATCAATTGTTTCCAACACTCCCCTTCGCTTCTGGAGTGTCGCTGCTGGTGACGTGGCTTTGTCCAGTCAGCAGCATGCAGTACTCGAACTTCTGCTTCCCGAGCTTCTTGGTCAAGTAATCAGCTGCCATCTCGGACGTGGGACAGTAAGACAGCTCAAGTCTCCCCTTCTCGATCTCGTCCTTTACGAAGAAATATCGCTGGGCGATATGTTTCGTCCTGTTCGCGAATCCGTTTTTGTTGGCTATGCGAATTGCCGACTGGTTGTCGCAGAACAAGGAGAAGCTGGGTAACTGAGCCAGCTTCGCCTCCTCCAGAAGTTCGCGAAGGTACAGTCCTTCCTTGGTGGCTGAGCAGAGTGAGATATATTCAGCTTCAGCTGAAGAGAGAGCGATTAATTCCTGCTTGCTCGACTGCCAGGAGATGGGTCCGATAGGCTCGAGGCGATAGATGTAGCCGGTGCGTGAGCGTCTGTTGTCGGAGTCGCCGGCGTGATCGGCGTCGACGTAGCCGATTAGTTTAGGTGTCGTAGTCCCATTCTTGTGGTAGGTTAGACTGACGGTTGAAGTGCTGACGAGGTAGTGGAGAGCACGGTCGAGTTCCGCCATGTGGTCTATTTCAGGTTTCTTGAGGTAGGTCGCGAGCTGACTTGCGGAGTACGATAGGTCCGGACGGCAAGTGACAGCTGCAAAGAGGAGACATCCCAGCTTTCTCTGGTAGTCGCGTATGCCGGCGGGCTTTAGTGGAGCAGATCCTTCCTTGTTATTTCCTGCCGTGTAGCGGTATGGCATAGAGATGGTGGTCGGCGTGAGTGCGAAACGTTTGGCGATAGTGTCGTCGTATTTTGCGGCATTGAGGTAGATCGCGTCTTCTTCTTCCTGGATGTTGAGGCCGAGATACTGCGTGACAGTGGACGAGACTGTGAGCGTGAGATCCTTCTGTAGTTCTGTCAGAATATGTTGTTTGTGTAGCCTGCAGTGGGGTACTCTATAGTGAGTACAGCCCCTTAGGGTTTGCTATTTGTATCCTGCTGCTTGCTAGTTCAATCATTCCTTCTCAATCCTGTTCCTGCACACAATCCTAGCTCGTACTTGGCTCCTCGTTACTAGTCCTACTGTGGCCTAGGCTACTAAGCCTAGGCCGTACTCCTACTACTTCTGACATGGTATCAGAGGGCGGCATGTCTGCCGCCTTCCTGTGTATGGGCCCACCACCCGCTTCCGCTGCCGTACTGTCCGCAGCGCGCCCCGTGGTGAGCGGCGGCGAAACCCTAATTTCTGCCCGCCGCGCGCTCGGGGCGCCTGGCGGTTTTCCCTTCCGTGGCGCCCGTCGTGGTGCCCTTGGGGGGGCCTCCGCGGTCCCCTCCCGTCGAAGCGCCCGTCGAGGCGCTCTCGGGGACCCGCGCGGCCTCCCCCCCCGTCGCCCGTCGAGGCGACCTCGGGGACCCGCGCGGCCTCCCCTCCCGTCGCCCGTCGAGGCGACCTTGGGGGCCCGCGCGGCCTCCCCACCAGTCGCCCGTCGTGGCGACCATGGGGGCCGCGCGCGGTCCCCTCCCGTCGCCCGTCGAGGCGACTTCGGGGGCCGTGCGCGGCGCCCTCCCCGTCGCCCGTCGTGGCGACTTCGGGGGCCGTGCGCGGCCCTCCCCGTCGCCCGTCGAGGCGACTTCGGGGGGCCCGCGCGGCGCCCTCCCCGTCGCCTATTGAGGTGGCTCTGGGGGCCCGTCGCGGCGCCCTCCCTGGTGCCCGTCGCGGCGCCCCGGGGGGGGCCGCGCGGCTCCCTTCTCGTCGCCCCTCGGGGCGCCCTGGGGGCCGTGCGTTTTCCCCCCCCGCGGCCGCCCCTGGAGCCGCCCGCCACTGCAGCAGCAGCCCCTGGAGCCGCCCGCACCTGCAGCAGCCGCCCCTGGAGCCGCCCGCCAGTGCAGCAGCCGCCCCTAGAGCAGCCCGCACCTGCAGCAGCCGCTCCTGGAGCAGCCCACACCTGCAGCAGCCGCCCCTGGAGCAGCCCGCACCTGCAGCAGCCGCCCCTGGAGCAGCCCGCACCTGCAGCAGCCGCCCCTGCAGAAGCTCGTCCCGTCCCCCCCCCCCCCCCCGTGCTGCCCATTGCTCCCATTCCACCGTGCGTTCCGCGGTGGTTGGGGTGTGGGGTGGCGAGCATGGGGGTGAGAGGTGTGGGTTCTCCCCTCCTCCTTTTTCGTCTCCCACTGCTGCAGCTGCCGCTGAGGGGGGTGGAGGTGTGGGAGTCGTGGGGAGTGGCACTAGGGGGGTGATGTGGGAGTGGAGCTAGGGGTGAAGCAGGGGGTGTGTGAGAGGGGTGTGGGACTGTTGGGGGAGGTTGAGTGGAGGCTGCTGTCTTGTCGTCCGCAGCACGTGTAGTCCGGGGCGCACTGTCCTGGTAGCTTAGAGAGCCTGCTGCACCTGTTGCCCGTGGGTCCGTTGCTCCTGCCGCTCGTCGCAGCCGCAGAGCCTGTTACTCCTGTATTCCGGGACGCACTGTCTCGGTAGCTACTGAGAGCCTGCTGCACCAGTCGCCCGTGGGTCCGTTGCTTCTGCCGCTCGTCGTAGCCGCAGAGCCAGTTACTCCAGTATTCCGGGGCGCTCTGTCTCGGTAGCCACTGTGTCAGCCGCCACTGTGTCAGCCGCTTCTGTTGCCCGTGTGTCTGCAGCTTCAGTCGTCGCCTCCCATCTTCTCTCCTTTCATAGTCCCTCCTCCTCCTCACTTGCCCTCTGTGATAGCCTCTAGCTTTGCTGATAATTATGAACTATTGCTATGACTGCTCATTGTGCTGATTACACCCCACTTTGGCTATGGGGGTGTGTCAGAATATGTTGTTTGTGTAGCCTGCAGTGGGGTACTCTATAGTGAGTACAGCCCCTTAGGGTTTGCTATTTGTATCCTGCTGCTTGCTAGTTCAATCATTCCTTCTCAATTCTGTTCCTGCACACAATCCTAGCTCGTACTTGGCTCCTCGTTACTAGTCCTACTGTGGCCTAGGCTACTAAGCCTAGGCCGTACTCCTACTACTTCTGACAAGTTCCCCTTCGAACCAAGTGGTGACGTTGTTGGTCGAGCCGATGTAGAGTAAATCGTCCACGTAGACAATCAGTAGGATGTAGTCGGTGCCCTTTGTGAGCCGATACATGCCCTGGTCGTGAGGTAGTTGGCGGAATCCGATGCAAATAAGTCTTGCGTGCAGATACTGCTGCCACAGCCTTGGAGCTTGTTTGATGCCGTACAGGGATTTTTGCAACTGACAGACTTGGTTAGGTTCTCCGTGGGAGCCGTGTGGGAGTTCAACGAAGATTTCGGCGTCAACAGGTGCGTAGAGGAATGCGTTGGCGACGTCGATTTGCCGCTGTTTCTTTTTCTTCATGGCGGCGATCGCGAGGAGAATTCGTAGTGAGGTGTGTCGGCTGACCGGGGCGAATGTCTCGGTGAAGTCACGTCCGTGCTCTTGGTCGAAGCCGCGTACGACCCAGCGCGCCTTAAACTTGTCGATGGTGCCGTCTGCCTTTGTCTTCACACGGAAGACCCACTTCCCGGTGAGTACTGTCTTGTTTCGTGCCACGCCGATCGGGACGACTTTCCAGGTGTTGCGTTCCTTCAGTGCTTTCAGTTCCTTGTCCATGGCTTCACGCCATTTTTCCCTATGCTCCCTCCCCAGAGCCTGCTGAACTGTGGCAGGCTCCTTAGGAATCTCCGTGCCGTGGACCGCGGTGACAAGGCCGAGTATCTGGAGGCCATTGTGTGTGTAGCGGGGGAGAGTTGTGTCCGCGGGATAAGCTGCTTCGTCACCTGCTTCTGGGTCAGGTATGAAGTTGGGCCCTATGCGTTCTGCTTCGTTGGTGTTGACTTCTGCGGGTGTAACGTAACCGTTGTCGGCGAAGTGGTAAAATACATCGGCGTTGGTGCTTTCGCGAGGATTTTCGTCATCCATTGGGACGTCGATGGAGCAGTAAGGGAGAGGTCCGGCTTCCTCCGAGGCTTCATCCACATTCTGCTCGTCCCAGTCAGCTTCGTCTGCTGCCGAGGCGAAGTGTCGGTCACCACGGAAGCCACCTGTGGGGTCCCGATCTTCTTCCACGTTGGCAAGATACGTCATAAGGGTGAGTCGTTCGTAGAAGATGACATCACGTGCTGCTACTGTTTCTTTGGAGTGGACGTCGAAAATCTTCGACGCGTTGTAATTTCTTTCGATGCCCAGGTGTAGTCCCCACTGTGCGCGTTGGGAAAATCGGCCGGCTCGTGCAGATGGGGGTCGGTACTGTACCATGCAGCCGAAAACTCTTAACATTTTTGTGCTGCCCTGTTTTCCTGTCCACAGCAGATGCGGTGATGCGTTGTTCGGGAGCGATGATGACGAGAGCAAGTTGTGCAGCATGACAGCGTGGTCCATTGCTTCGGGCCACTGGTGGTTGGGCAGTCGCATGCCTCGTAGCAGCTTGCGCATGGTGTTCTGGAGAGTCCTGTTCATTCTTTCTGCTACGCCTTGCTGCTGGTGAGCGTAGGGAAGAGAGATGAGCCTCTTGATTCCTCTTTCTGCCAAGTACTGCTTGAACCTCTGTGAGGTGTATTCTCCTCCTCCGTCTGACTGGAAGCTTTTTAGTTTCACGCCTGATTCTCGTTCTGCTACTGGGAGCCAAGCGACGAAGGCCTCGAAAGCCATGTCCTTGCTCGGAAGGTTAAGGTGCCAAACGTAACGTGTAGCGGCATCGATGAACGTGATGGTGTAGCTGTATGCTCCTTGTCCAGGTTCGGTGGATGTGTCCAGGAGGTGAAGGTGACGATCCTGTCGCTGTCAGCGGTGCCAAGATCTGGGACGAAGTCGAGGACGAAGACGTTGTTTTTTAGGACCGCCTTCCCGATGTAGAGACCGCCCTTCCCGTGGTATAACTTGAACTCCTGAGTGGTGCTATCTGCTTCGAGGTGTATGCCCTTCGCCATCAGCTGACTGACGCTCAGTAAGTTGTAACCGAGCCCTTCTGCTATTAAAACCTTCGACATCTGCAGTATGACGTTTGTCTCTCGTGACTGAAGTTGCACTACGCCTTGTCGTCGTGTGCGCATGTTCTGATTGTTGGCGACGGTGATGACGACCTCGCGTTGAAGTTCGTGTTCGCGTTGAACAAAACGTCCTGAAGAGCACATGTGTTATCCGCAGCAACTGTCCAAGAACCAGGTATCCTTCCCAGACGGTTCGCTTTGGGCGATGGCTGCGTACGTTGGGTTCGGTTGTAGTGTTTCTCGACGTGGAGTCCTTTCGTCGAGTTGTTCTTCTGGTGAGTAGTGCGGCGGCGATTCAGTGATGCAGGAGTCGGTCAATCTTGCCATGCAGCTGACGATGTCCCTTGTTCCTTGTGCAGGTTGTCTCGTCGACGTTGTTGACGTTTGAACTTGAGTGGTGGAATTTGCTTGCGTTGAGGCTACTTGACTGCTTGAAGGTCGAAGCTGCCGCTGCGTTGGTACTGACTGTTGTCGGTTAGGGCAGTGTGTGCGGGGATGACCTGACGTCTTGCAGAGATGACAAAACGGAGGTACGGGTTGTTGACCTTGGTACTTGTTTTGCCGATTGTTGTTGTTGTTGTAGCGCCGTTGAGTGTGGAAAGCGAACTCAGACACTGACGTCTTCCTCTTGTGTTTTTCTTCTTGTAGGTCCATGTCTTGCTGTTCGGCGTGACTTTCAGCGCACAATGCTGCTTCGGAGATCTTCCCGTGAGCTCGGAGTATGGCGCGAGTGGAGCGCCAATGAGGACCAAGACCGCCAATGACGACTGTGACGAAGGCGTCTTCTGATATCGACCCTCCGCATCGAAGGAGTTTGTCGCGCAATTCGCGACAGCGGCTGATATACGCCATCCTTTTTTCGCCCGGTTTCATTTCCACTGTTGTCAGTTGTGCCATTAACCGACTCTGATTGACGCTGTCTGTTGCCTGATACAGGTTCTTCATGTGGTTGTACGCGAGCTCGGCGGAGTTTCCGTATCCTCGGTAAGACCGAATGTTCTGCTGCTGGTTCGGTGTGACGTTGCGCAGTAGGATTATATACGCCATCATAGATTGATACGTATATTGCTGTTTGTCGTATTGCGTGCCGTTTGTTGGATATGGCAGGGACCCATCGAAGAAGCCAAGAATCTGCGCGCCTTCCATCATCAGTTCGAATTCGAATGACCAGGTAAAGAAGTCATTTCCGTCGAATGGTCTTGACGTCTGCAGTTTTAAAACGTGCGCAAACTGCGACTGAACTTGAAGTGCATCTAGTGTCTTCTCTTGCTCAGGTGAAGGCTGCTGGCGCGGCATGAAGCTGACGGAGCCGCGCTGAGGTTCGTACGGGGCGAAGGTAGGTTGTTGCTGATTTCCTCGTGCGTAGGATGAACCGTCGAGGCTCATCGATGTTGCGTTGTTGTTGTTGCTGTTGTTTGACTGTGCAGGTGCCCCTTGCTGGTGTTGTTCGTAGAAGGACATGAAGGAGAAGAATTTCTCCATCATGTCTGGGTCGAAGGCCGCGGCTTGATTTGCGGGAGTTTCTGTAGACGTTGCCCTTGGTCTTGTTGCCGTACCCTCCTCTGTCTGTAGGCCAGAGGCAGGAGGTGGAGTAGGAGTAGTACCAGGAGAGCCGTTAGAGGAGCTTCTCTCCTTCTGTGTTGCCATGCCTTGTGATGTCGTGGGTGTCTTGATTGTAGTTGAATTTGTCCTGATAGCTCTCATACCATGTTGGGCTGAGAAAAGCCCTTAGGATCTTTGCAGGACTAAATTCTGAGTAGGACAATGTAATAGCGGAAGCGTTTAATGAGAACTTTGTGAACCACCTTGCGCTAGTATGTGAGGGCAAAGTAGATTTGATTAAAACAAAGAGATACAAGTTTTGATAAGAGTACAAGGAATACGAAGAGATATAGTTAATAACCGTTTTGCTGTTGCTGTTGCGGTTCGATACAGTGACGACTCGGGCAACTGCTCAATAGCGAGTCAGTTGTTTGTCCTTGCTGTCGCGCTGTATTTGTCAGGTCAAAGGTCGCTGACCTTTGACTTTCGCATAACCTCCAGCAGTTGTTCAACGTCCGAGGGTTGACTCGCTAATGCTTCGATATGTTTTGCTTCGCTTCTGACTTGGTGTTTCGACACGACAGAAGCGCTAAATCAATTGTTTCCAACAATTGCGTCCCCATTTCCATATGCCATCAAGCCCTCCAAAATGGAGGAAAACTGAGGGAGTTCGCCAAGCTCTCAAATTTCCATCAGGTTTAGACGGCACTAGAGGTTCGGTCGAATTTTGACGGGCTGACCATGCTGACGGACCTTAAAGAGCCCTAACTGACAGGACCAGGAAGTCGTGACTGACCTTCCCGACCCCATCGTTTTTGCTTTCCAAAGTGCTGGCGAACACCGTCAAGGGGTGAAGGAGTTGGGAAGCTGCTAAGGAGTGAAGGAGTTGGGAAGCTGCTAAGGAGTGAAGCTGTTGGGAATCTGCCAAGAAGTGAAGGAGTTAGGAAGCTGTTAAGGAGTGAAGGAGTTGGAAAGCTGCTTAGGGGTGAAGGAGTTGGGAAGCTCTTAAAAGGAGAAGTTGGTGTGCAGCAAAACAGCGACGTGCATTAAAAGCAACCATGAATGTTTTTTAACCGAGTGTACGGCACGCCCCTCATCTTGAGGAAGTCAGCCCGTCGGCATCCAAGGGGACGTTGTGGGACGGATTTTTTTATCCATGGCTTGCGCAAGCCATGGTTCAGCGCGCGGATCAGATCTACCAGGGTGATGCCGTGCTACCAGATCAGATCCGATCCACGCGCTGAACCATGGCTTGCGCAAGCCATGGATCAAAAGCTATGGCCCGCCGCATCCCATTGGATGCCGACGGGCTGACTTCCTCAAGATGAGAGGCGTGCCCTACACTCGGCTAAAAAACCTCCAAAGTTGTTTTTAATGCACGTCGCTGATTTGTTCCACACCAACTTCTTCTCCCCTTAACAGCTTCCCAACTCCTTCACCCCTAAGCAGCTTCCCAACTCCTTCACTCCTTACCAGCTTCACAACTCCTTCACCCCTTGGCAACTTCCCAACTGCTTCACTCCTTAGCAGCTTCCCAACTCCTTCACTCCTTAGCAGCTTCCAACTCCTTGTACCATGCCGTTTCAATCAAGCTTTTAGCATGTGCCATTACATATCAGATCTACCAGGGTGCTGCCCTGAGTCAACAAAAAGGCACTTTCAAGTCCTCGGTTTAGGGTGCCATGAAAGTCGGGTGCCATTTAAGTCGTGTGCCATGAAAGTCGGGTGCCATGAAAGTCGGGTACCATGAAAGTCGGGTGCCATTAAAGTCGTTAAGTCAGGTGCCCATTCGAATCAGCTCTGCCAGGAGGCGGAGTCGGGCAGAGCAGGCGCGCTTCTCAGCAGCCGCTCCAACTCATCGTTCACCTCCGCCTGCTGTTTCCACTCCTGGTGGTGGGGGGGGAAGGGTCGGGGGGGGACACAGAGAAAGAAAGAAGTGAGAAGGGAGGAAGCAGCACATCACTTCTAAGAAGCCACTCCAACTTGTCGTTCACCTCCGCCTGCTGCTTCCACTCCTTGTGGTGGGGGGAGAGAGGGAGGGTGAGGCACATGGAAAGAAAGTAGTGAGAAGGGACACAGGGAAAGCAGTAAGAAGGGAAACAGTAAGAAGGGAAACAGCGCATCATTGCTCCTCCGCCTGTTGCTTCCACTCCTGGTGGTGGGGATGGGGGGAGGGGGAAGAGGAGAGGAGGTTGGGACACAGGGAAACAGTTGGGGGCGACGCTCACTGATCTAGCCTCTCGCTAGCAATCTAACCTCAAGACTCACCTTTCAACTGCTAGGCCCCTACAGCGGCTGGATGCCGTCACAGGTCACACCCACTCACCAATCACTTACCTCGCAAAGCCTCCTCTGTCTCCTTCTGCAGACTCTCCACCTCCATCAGGCACTCAATCTTACCTGCCAGAGCTCACCCTGACCTCACAGCCCTGACTTTGCATCCCCCACAAGGCCTGCCTGTGCACGCTCACCTTCTGCAGGCTCTCCACCTCCATCAGCCACTCGATCTTACCTGCTAGAGCTCACCCGCACTTTGACCTCTCAGCCCTGCCACCTCACAGCACTATGTCCCTCACAGCACTATGTCCCTCCATCTCCCACTCCCCACACCGCCTGACAGCAATAAGTCCTGCCCTGTGCCTCACCTTCTGCAAGCTCTCCACCTCCATCAGCCGCTCGATCTGGTCCGCTATGCTCGCCTGCTCACAGAAACAAAGCACAGTACCATGGCACACAGCATGGCACACAGCATGGCACACAGCATGGCACACAGCATGGCACACAGCATGGCACACAGCATGGCACACAGCATGGCACACAGCATGGCACACAGCATGGCACACAGCATGGCACACAGCATGGCACACAGCATGGCACACAGCATGGCACACAGCATGGCACACAGCATGGCACACAGCATGGCACACAGCATGGCACACAGTAAGGGTGCAGTAAGGGTGCAGTAAGGGTGCAGTAAGGGTGCAGTAAGGGTGCAGTAAGGGTGCAGTAAGGGTGCAGTAAGGGTGCAGTAAGGGTGCAGTAAGGGTGCAGTAAGGGTGCAGTAAGGGTGCAGTAAGGGTGCAGTAAGGGTGCAGTAAGGGTGCAGTAAGGGTGCAGTAAGGGTGCAGTAAGGGTGCAGTAAGGGTGCAGTAAGGGTGCAGTAAGGGTGCAGTAAGGGTGCAGTAAGGGTGCAGTAAGGGTGCAGTAAGGGTGCAGTAAGGGTGCAGTACGGGTGCAGTAAGGGTGCAGTAAGGGTGCAGTAAGGGTGCAGTAAGGGTGCAGTAAGGGTGCAGTAAGGGTGCAGTAAGGGTGCAGTAAGGGTGCAGTAAGGGTGCAGTAAGGGTGCAGTAAGGGTGCAGTAAGGGTGCAGTACGGGTGCAGTAAGGGTGCAGTAAGGGTGCAGTAAGGGTACAGTAAGGGATGCACTGAGGGCTGCAGTGAGAAACAGGAAGGGACTCTTGGTCAAGAAGAAAAAGAAGAAAAAACATCAGAAAACAAGCTCTAACATCAGAAAACAAGCTCTAACATCAGAAAACAAGCTCTAACATCAGAAAACAAGCTCTAACATCAGAAAACAAGCTCTAACATCAGAAAACAAGCTCTAACATCAGAAAACAAGCTCTAACATCAGCTTAAGACGAGGGAGGGGAGAAGGACTCACCGCAGCACCTGCTGCCTCTGCTGTGGGCACGTCTGCATCCATCTCCACCTCTATCTCTATCATTGACAGCACCTGGTGGCCAAGGGGTAGGGCGGAGGGGTGTGAGGACACAAGAAATGAACAGAGAGCGCGTCATGCTGGTCTAGCATGCCCCGTCTAGCCCTGGCTGTCTCTGCTGTGGGCATGTCTGCATCCATCTCCACCTCCATCTCAATCATCGACAGCACCTGCGGACAGGAGATCAGGGCAGGGCGGAGGGGCAGGGCGGAGAGGCAGGGTGGAGGGAACGTTAGGGACGTGCGGAAGTTAACATATCATCTCCACCTCGATCTCTATCATTGGCAGCACCTGCGGGCCAACGGGCAGGGCGGGAGGGTAGGGAGGGCAGGGTGGAGGGGCAGGGTGGAGTGGGGTGGAGGGCACATAAGGGACGAGCGGAAGTTATTCTGGTCTAGCATGGTTATCCCAGTCCCTGCTGCCTGTTAATCTGGTCTAGCGCCTGCTGCCTCTGCTGTTGGCACGTCTGCATCCATCTCCACATCTCAATCATTGACAGCACCTGCGGGCCAAGGGGCAGGGTGGAGGAAAGGGTGGATGGGAAGGGTGGAGGGCACATAAGGGAAGAGCGGAGAGTGTGAGGCCTTCTGGCATTGTATGCCGAGTCTAGCGCATGCTGCCTCTGCTCAATGTGGAAATATACGCGAGCGTCCAGCGTATATACGCTAGCGTCCGTATGCTGGACGCTGGACGCTCGCCCAAAAAAATTCCGGGCAGCCCGACGAAAAAAATCGCGCGACAAAATTGAGACTTGCAATTTCAGCGCGAATGTAATTTCGAAACGGATCTGGTTCAATTTCGCCAAAACAGAACCAGATCCAACAAATTGACCATGCAATTTCTCTTTCTACTGCATTTCACCCCTCCCAATCTAGCAAAGCCAACCCAGCGTAAGTAGATCGACTAACTCTGGCAGGCACATATCCCAGGCAGAGTTAGTCGACGATTATGTTTCACTAACTCACCTACGACCAGATTATTCCTAACAGCTAGCTCACCTAGACTTGCGTTTACGCTGACGAAATTCGCCTTTATGGCATCCGTTTAGAGAACTCCTTCAATCAAGCATAACATACATTTCCAGCATAAAAACGTTTACCATCGCGATTCCATGGCGGAATCCTTGTGGCGCTCCCTTTTCCCCACTTCCCTCTTCCCCCCTCCCCCCCCGCTTTTTTCCTCCCTGCCCGAAAAAAGTATCTTGCCTGCCCGACCCAAGCGTCCAGGGCTGGACATCAGAGCGTCCAGCGTATATACGCTAGCGTCTAGACGCTAGCGTATGGGACGCTGGACGCGTCCATGTCCACATAGCTCTGCTGTTTGAACGTCTGCATCCATCTCAACCTCGACACATTCTGGTTCTAATAATTGGAAATCCGATCTGCTCAGACACATGTGACAGCACCTGATCATGTGACACATGTGACACACCTTCATCTCTGCATATGGCAGCACCTGATGCGGCAGGAAGGGCATGGTGGGTGGCAGGCAATGAATACAATGGCAGGCAGCTATCACCCTTGCACATGAGGCTGACTCGTGGTGCTATCTTGAAATAGCAGTCAAGAAGGTTGATTCGTGACCGATTTTTTTTTTCTTGGTCAGAAGCAACGCAGCTTACCTTAGCGTAGCTGTCAGCAAGGTTGATTGGCGCCAGCAGCCACAGGTCCAGCCCCTTGGCATTGACCGTACCTTGGCATACCTACTGACGACTGTACCCAGGGCAAATAAGACTTGGATCTATGGGGGTACCTTAGAGTACCTGTCAACGAGGTTGATTCGTGCCAGCAGCCGCAGGTCCAGTCCCTTGGCATTGGCACAGCTATTCATGATTGTACCGAGGGCAACGAGGGCGTATTAACCTGTGGGCCTACCTTGGCATAGCTGTCAACGAGGTTGATTCGCGCTAGCAGCCGCTGGTCCAGCCCCTTGCGAGCTGCCACCACCCTCTCCCACCGCGCACTGCCATGCCATGCGTGCATGGGAACATTGTGGATGAAGGGCAGGAGGAGCATGGGAAAGGGTGGGAGTGGGCAGCATGAGAGCGGTAGAAGGGGGAAATGATGGAGGAAAGTGCTGGTCCAGCCCCTTGCGTGCAGCTACCACTCTCTCCCACCGCACACTGCCATGCATGCATGGGGGGAGAGTCGAGGAGCATTGGGGGAGTGGATGTGGGGCGGCATGAGGGAGCTATGAGGGGGAAGTGCTGGTCCAGCCCCTTGCGTGCAGCTACCACTCTCTCCCACTGTGCACCGCAACAAATGTAGGGGAGGAGAGGGAGAGTGAGGACGAGAGGAGGAGGAGGAGTGGGACAGAAAGGCGCCTGTGGGGAGAGTGAGGACGAGAGGAGGAGGAGGAGTGGGACAGAAAGGCGCCTGTGGGGAGAGTGAGGACGAGAGGAGGAGGAGGAGTGGGACAGAAAGGCGCCTGTGGGGAGAGTGAGGACGAGAGGAGGAGGAGGAGTGGGACAGAAAGGCGCCTGTGGGGAGAGTGGTCAAGTCATGTATTGCCGAGTGGGACATGTCATGTCAAGTCAGATTACAAGAGGCGCCGAACCATATATGCACCACAAGGTGACCACGAATGGCCATGTATTGAGAGAAGAGAGGGAATGGGGCCCTGGGGAGAGTGGTCAAGTCATGAAGAAGAGAGGCAGTGCACTAGGTCACTATAGGAAAGCCAAAGACCACGTGTAGAGAGGGTGTTTTTGGGACGTCTCAAAAACACCCTCTCTACGAGAGGCAGTGCGCTGGGTCACAATAGGAAAGCCAAAGACCTGTGGGGGTTGCAGCAAGAGGCATCCTTGAAAGGACCATGCTAGAATGACATGGCACACCTTTAGGTGGACGGCTGGCCGATGCACTGCATCTTGTTCTGCAGACATGCATACATACCTGTAGGTGATGTGGCACACTTGTAGGTGACGTGGCACACCTGTAGGTGACGTGGCACACCTGTAGGTGACGTGGCACACCTGTAGGTGACGTGGCACACCTGTAGGTGGACGGCTGGCCAATGGACTGCATCTTGTTCTGCAGCTGACACATGCGTGCTAGCATGCGCACCTGGTGTGCACACCCATGCATGCATGCAAGTATGATGTACGGACACATGCGTGCACACATACACATGCAGACAAGCACACAGAGATGAGGGCGTGTGGGGCATGCAGCATTGGCTCCAGCGAGCTTGCAAGTGGCCCATTCATTGATATAGACGGAGTACACGCATGCAGGAGATATAAGATTCGCGCTTTACGCAACAGTCCAGGCCTCAACTTCCTACTCGGCTAGCCTAGCCACCATCCCGCGATCCCTGCTGCAGCGGACTCACCTCCTCAGCTGCAGCAGCAGAGAGCGCCTCTAGCCTCTGCCTCAACGCCGCATGCTGCTCCAACAGCTGCTGCCGCACTGCCATGCCATCCACCACGCTGCCTGGCAGCTGGAGGGAGCAAGAGGGGAGAGATACAGGGGGAGAGGGGGACAGGGCAGGACGATTAGAATGTATGAGCTCGATAGTGCATGCGCCAACAGCTCGATAGTGGATGCGCCAACAGCTCGATAGTGCATGCGCCAAAAGCTCGATAGTGCATGCGCCAACAGCTCGATAGAGGATGCGCCAACAGCTCGATAGTGCATGCGCCAACAGCTGCTGCTGCTGCTGCTGCTGCTGCACTGCCATTGCCATCCACCACACTGCCAGGCAACTGGGGAGAACAGATGCAGGGGGTCTAAGCGAGACCGCCTGCACAAAACCAAACACTGCGTATGAGAGGGCGGTGCAGCGTATGAGCGGGCGGTGCAGCGTATGAGCGGGCGGTGCAGCGTAGGAGCGGGCGGTGCAGCGTATGAGCGGGCGGTGCAGCGTATGAGCGGGCGGTGCAGCGTATGAGCGGGCGGTGCAGCGTAGGAGCGGGCAGTGCAGCGTATGAGCGGGCGGTGCAGCGTATGAGCGGGCGGTGCAGCGTATGAGCGGGCGGTGCAGCGTATGAGCGGGCGGTGCAGCGTATGAGCGGGCGGTGCAGCGTATGAGCGGGCGGTGCAGCGTATGAGCGGGCGGTGCAGCGTATGAGCGGGCGGTGCAGCGTAGGAGCGGGCGGTGCAGCGTATGAGCGGGCGGTGCAGCGTATGAGCGGGCGGTGCAGCGTATGAGCGGGCGGTGCAGCGTATGAGCGGGCGGTGCAGCGTAGGAGCGGGCGGTGCAGCGTATGAGCGGGCGGTGCAGCGTATGAGCGGGCGGTGCAGCGTATGAGCGGGCGGTGCAGCGTAGGAGCGGGCAGTGCAGCGTATGAGCGGGCGGTGCAGCGTATGAGCGGGCGGTGCAGCGTATGAGCGGGCGGTGCAGCGTATGAGCGGGCGGTGCAGCGTATGAGCGGGCGGTGCAGCGTATGAGCGGGCGGTGCAGCGTATGAGCGGGCGGTGCAGCGTATGAGCGGGCGGTGCAGCGTAGGAGCGGGCGGTGCAGCGTATGAGCGGGCGGTGCAGCGTATGAGCGGGCGGTGCAGCGTATGAGCGGGCGGTGCAGCGTATGAGCGGGCGGTGCAGCGTATGAGCGGGCGGTGCAGCGTATGAGCGGGCGGTGCAGCGTATGAGCGGGCGGTGCAGCGTATGAGCGGGCGGTGCAGCGTATGAGCGGGCGGTGCAGCGTATGAGTGGGCGGTGCAGCGTATGAGCGGGCGGTGCAGCGTATGAGCGGGCGGTGCAGCATATGAGCGTGCTATACCAGGAATGCTACAGCAGCACAGCTGCTGCTACACTGCCTTGCCATCTCCGGGAGCCCTACCTCTCTTAGCTTCGGCAGGAGCACAAAGTTGTGGGCCTCCCCAGCTGCACCACCCACCCCAGTTAAGTTGGAATTCGCTTGTAGAAAAAAAGTACGTCTACAGAACAACTGACATACCTCTCTTAGCTTCGGCAGGAGCAGAAAGTTGTAAGCTCCCCCTGTTGCTGCACCACCAGCAGCCACCCACCCCACCACAATCCCCATCGTCCCATCTGTGATCGCGTTTGGCTCCATTATTCCCATGCTCACTGCTGCCGCCCCCACCACGTTCGCTGCCACCAGTGCGCCGCCCAGAGGCAGCACCCAGGGCGGCAGCGACAGGCTGCCGCTGTCTCTAGTGGCCTTGGGCGGCGCGCGCAGCAACGCCAGCGTCTGCCTCGTCACATGATTGGTCAGCGCCATGGGTTCACTCGGATTCCACCCCGGGGTTCTATTCGCCGGCGCCGGAAATATCCCCGCTATTTTCCGCTTAGAGGCGGAAGCTTTTCGAGAAGAGGACGAGGAGGAAGACGAGGGGAGGGAGGAGGAGAGGGAGGAGGCGAGGGAGGAGGAGAAGGAGGGGGCGGCGCAGGCGATGGTGATTCGCTCCCCCGACTGGGCGGGCACGGAGGGGGTGACGGTGGCAAAGGTGTTGATCTGCGATGTGCCGTCTGGTGCTTTGAGCACCACACTGTGCACTGCTACTGGTGGGTCTCTCCTCTTGATGCGCACCAAGCGAAGGACCTTGTCCAAGATGGGGGCAGAGTCGCTGGTGGGGGGTGGAGGGGCGAGGGCAAGGTAAGGGGAGAAAATGGAGGGTGTGAGAAGGAGCAGGCACGGAGGGGGTGACGGTGGCGAAGGTGTTTGATCTGTGATGTGCCGTCTGGTGCCTCGAGAGCACCACACTGTGCACCGCTGCTGGTGGATCTCCCAGCTTTATGCGCACAAAGCGGAGCACCTTGTCTAGTATGGGGGCAGAGTCACTGGTGGGAGGGGGGAGTGAACAGGGTGGAGGAACAGGGGTAAGGGGAGAAAATGGAGGGTGTGAGACTGAGAAAATGGAGGGTGTGAGACTGAGAAAAAGGAGGGTGTGAGACTAAATGGAAGGATGAAGGGATCGGAGGCAGGGAAACAAGAAATGTGCTTTGGGCACCATGATGTGCACCGCTGCTGGTGACCCGCTTGATCCGCACAAAGTGAAGGACCTTGTCTAGTGTGGGGGCAGAGTCACTGGTTATGGGGTGGAGGGATGGGGAGCAGAGGAAGGAGAGGAGATTTGAGCACCACGCTGTGCTCCGCTGCTGGTAGGTCTCCTCGATTGATGCACACAAAGCGAAGGACCTTGTCTAGGTTGGGGGCAGAATGCATGGAGGGGTGGAGGAATGGGAGGCAAGGGAAGAAGGAAGGGGCCTTAAGCAGCACACTACAGTGCGCAATGCTGCTGGTGGGGGCCGACGCGCTTGATGTGAATGAGGTGAAGGACTTCATCTAGTAAGGGGGCAGAGTCACTGGTTATGGGGTGGAGGGATGGGGGCAGGGGAAGAAGAGAGGGGCCTTGAGAAGCACACTCCACTGTGCATTGGTGCTGGTGGGTGGCCCCACTTGATGCGCACGAGGCTAAGGGCCTTGTCCAGTGTGGGCGCAGAGTCACTGGTAGGGGTGGAGGGATGGGGGCAGGGGAAGAAGAGAGTGACTTAGAATCACAAAAGATGAGCTCCCCTTGCACATGCCTTTATTCGTACTTGCATCCACATGCATGTATGTAGATGAGCATATACATGTCACAGTAAGATTAAAACACATATGTACATGGGTTAACGCCCACATGAGGGACTCAGAGTCGCAGGAGATGAGGTCCCCACCCCAGACACCAGCTCGTACTCGTACTTGCACTTTGTGCCACACAGATTGGACAGTTCGTGTACAGCATGCATGCATATACCATATCGCTCACATAAGAGACTCTGAGTCGCAGGAGATGAGGTCCCCTGACACCAGCTCGTACTCGTACTTGCATCCTGCACACCCCACCACCTGGGACAGACAGCAGGGCAACAAATCGCACACATGGGACGAGGGACGAGGGACGAGGGACAGCGGCAGAGCGCCAAACAGGAGTGCGAGTGAGGGCGGTTGGAGGGAGCGGCACGCAAAGGTCTAGTCAAGGCTATAAGATTAGGGCCGAGAGTCCAAAAGGCGAAGGGAAGCAAAGCTAGAACCAGAGGTTATGATACGAAAGAACCAGATTCCACACAGCATGGGAGAAACGGTGCGAAGAGCGATGGCAACAGTCAGCCAGGCCACGGGGCCTCACCTGCCGGCCTTGCTGCGGCTGCACCACAGAAAAGGCCTTGCGACACGTGGGGCAGTCCACCGTCACTCCAAAGGACACCTGCACGCAAGGGACGGACGCAGAGGCACGAACCACTTGATGGGCGTGACTGTTGGGCTGACTCATTAGAGCATCACAGTGAAGAGAATGACTTGCGGCAACGTGGGGCCATGCCGAATGTTTTGCCCCCCATTCTCCCCTTCGCGTCTCTGTTTTCCTGCGCTCATTGCTCTGTCCTTTTCAGGACCGCCCCACCGCAACTAACGGCTGTTGCTTCCCCACTTTCTCCCTTCCCCCTTTCCCCCCTCCCCATTTCCCCCTTTTCCCCTTCCCTTTCCTTAATCCCCACCTCCACCCTTTTCACCCCAACTCACCTCTCGGTCCCCCTCGGGCACGCCCCGCCGCTGCACCTCCCCCACCAGCGCCACGGCGTCCGCCACTCGCAGCAGCGCCGCCAGCCCCCTCACCATCGCCGCGTACAGCCGCACACCCACCGCTGGCCACACGCGCGCACGCGCTGCAGGGAATGGGGAGGGGAGAGAGGGGGATGGGGAAGCAGCAGCATCCGCCACTCTCAGCAGCGCCGCAAGCCCCCTCACGCGCGCACGCGCTGACGGCAGCGGGGGGATGATGGGAGACGGGGGCACAGGGGAAGATGCGAGTGGGGGGGACGAGGAGGGGGAGATGACGATGCAGCAGCATCCGCCAATGCCAGCAGCGCAGCCAATCCCCACCACAGCAGGAGGGGGAGATGACGATGTAGACAGCAGCGCTGATGTCTAATCGTACCGTCAATGTCCTTAATACTAATCTGCCATCCTCTAACGTACTGCCGCACCTGCCCCGGGCGCGCCCGCATTGAGCGCCAAAGCGGACGTCTTGCACGCATTCAGCAGCGAATAGCTGAGTGCCACGTTGCCCGCCGCCAGGCTCCCCTCCATCAACCATGCCACGTCACGCCGCGAAAATCTTTCCACCTTCCCCGCACTCCCTTCCCCTGCGCCAGCGCCTCCCCCCCTCGGCCGTTGCCCCGAACCCTGCGCTCTGCTAGCACCTGTCGCTCCCCCTTTCCCTTGCGCCTCCGCCGATCTCCCCTGACCTTGCGCTCCCTCCGCATTTCCCCTCGCCGTTTCCGCCTTCTTCTCCTTCTCACCCCCCAACAGACTCCCCAACCCGCTGAACCATCCCCCGCCCGCCTTCTTCTTCTCTTCCGCGGCGGCTGCTGCTGCTGCTGCCGCCGCTGCCGCCGCCGCCGCTTCCGCCTCCGCCTTTGCCGCAGCGGTGGAAGCAGCTTCCGCCGCTGCTGCTTCCGCCGCGGCGAGCGCCGCCGCTCCACCCGCCTCCCCGCGCAACGCTGCCAGCTTGCCCAGAAGCAGCTCCGCCAAGGTATCCGCCTCCTCCACTTCCGCCAACCACCTGCTGACGTCACGATCGTCTCCTAATCTTTCCGCCAGGGATGGTAACCGCTGGCGAGATTTCGTTTGCGATTCGCTTTCATCGCCCTGCGCGTCCTCCATATCCGTTTCATCATCGAAATCATCGTCGTCGTCTGTAGACTCTACACTTGAGCTTAATCCGAGCGCGCTTTCTGCGGCTCTTAGTAGCCGCGTCGATTCCTTCTCCTCTACCAACGTTGCGGCCATGGCGGAATCCGCTAATTTAAGGCCATCTTTATAACTCGTGTTACCGCTTAATCTGGACCGAATGCCACCTGAAGCTACATCCCCTTCATCAAATCGATTGACTCTGTATGCAGCTCTGCGAAACGCTGCAGTGTTACTCGTCATGACTCTGTATGCAGCTCTGCGAAACGCTGCAGTGTTACTCGTCACTGGTAACACGCGTCTCAAGCCATTATGGCGAGGAAGGCTACCCCAGGTACTCCGTGGGCTCTGAACGCTGGCCTGCGCAACCTCGGGCTCTCCGCGAAGAGCCTGAGATGGCGCCAACGGCAGGGACGCGCTCGCGCGAATAGCCGCCATTATTGTGCTACGCCGACGGCCTCGTGAGCTTACTAAAGCCTGGTCCTAGGCACCGAGGAACTTGCCTGACGAGGAGCTGAAAATGGGAGCATGGGAAACAGTTAAAGCTCAAGGCCCAAATTGCGCAAGATTACTAATCTTGCGTAAGTTTGAGTGCTGAGGGGTGGGTGGAGTCGAGTGGAGTGTTGGGAAGGTGACCTGTCTGATTTCGCACGTAACACTTGGTTTTTTCGCCGAGTCAGCGAACTTCCGGGGGAAACGTGGGTTTGGGGACCTCGAGTCCCAAATTGCAGAGTAGTAAAACTCGATGCTTTGGCAGTGAGTCTGGCTTCGACCAATCAGATTGCATCGCACCTATTGTAACCAAATTTTCGCCACACACCAGCACAGAAAACGAGAAGTGTGCAAGATTACTAATCTTGCCCTGCGCGGCCCGCAATTTGGGCCTTGAGCTTTAATGGAGCAAGCATTAAAACCAGGGTGCACATTCAACGCGGTTCGGCTTGAGATGTTGGGATGGGGGTTTGGAGAAAAACAGTGATTGGCTCACGAGGGGCGACAAAAAAATGATCTAGAGCTTCGGGCATTTCGTAGGTGGCGGGAGGGGGTGAAATGGCGGGAGTGGGTGAAACCGAATGGCGGGAGGGATGAAACAGATTTGCGGGAGGGGGGGGAAACGAAATTGCGGGGGAGGGGGGAAACAAAATTGCGGGGGAGGGGGGAAACGAATTTCGACGGGGAGGGGGAAATGAAATTGCGGGGGCGTGGGGAAACGAATTTCGACGGGGAGGGGGAAATGAAATTGCGGAAGCAGCAGCATGTGAATGGCCAAGCGGAAGGCGCATGGTGAGGGGCGGGAGGGAAGCAGCAAGGTGCGAGTTCGGATGAGCTCCAGGGAAGCGCGCGACGGTCTCAGGTTCTGATTGGTTTGAAAGGGTGGGCAGGCGCAGAATGGCAGAAATTGCGCGGGCGAAGGGGAATGGGCGCGGAAAAATCTGGTGCCGTGGTTGGGGCTTGTGTTCAACAATTGACCGGACGGGGCAGAAAATGGATTTGCCTTGTTGGAAAGTCCGGACAGTGAAACAATAGACCAATCAAACACAGTGACCAAATTTTCAGGTGACCCTGTTTCTCGCTCAGGAGTGGCAGAAGCTGATCTTCAAGCTTCTGACACGCGCCAGATAACATTCCCCTGGTCGAGGTCGACGACGTGTAACCCGAATCCAGCGAGCAGCTCCGCGAATTCGTAACTCCCGTGGCGCAAATCGTCACAAACACGCGCTCTCCCTTCTTTCCTCCCGTCTCCCACGCTTATTGTTACTCATTTTTATGACCTCGGGATTACTTGACGCCAATTCTCTTAGTCGTTTCAGCAACGGCTCTCCAGCACCAGGATTCGTGATCTTTACCGTCTGCGTTAGTCCTGTTCTCATTCCACATTAGAAGAAGTAAGCCGTCCTGCATCCGTCGGATACCGTGACTTGAAGAAATTTTACATGAGCCTTACGACGTACTAGTTATAGAACGCCAGCAATCCAATGGTTGTTGTAAGTTTTATTCCTTAGTAAACTTTTTAAGTTCAATCCGGACTAGTCTAGGACTCGTCAATTAAATTTGTACCAAATCACTCACGAACATTCGGAACAGCTTGCTTCCGTGACTCTATCCATCATCGATGTTCGCTTCTCCATTATAATAAATCGTCGCTTACGGTCTCTAAAAAACGTGCACATTCCGCAACCCTTGTTACAGGACAATTACGTGTACACGCCGTTGAGCGACGTGCCTGCAGCAGCGGGGCAGAAGGTGAATGTCTTCGGCGTGGTGGTCCTCGCTGACAACATCCGGCACTCCCAGGGAACCGGTACTCGTTCTCCAAGTTTTTTTAATCTCGTCTCAATCTTGTTCACGCAACATTCCTGTCGCTCGATTTCTCCCTCCCCTCCCTCCTCCCCGTCTGATTTCGATGCTGATTTCACACCGCCGGTTTCGTTTCCGTGAATCACGTGTTTCACTAACTCCCGCGTGCATTCTATTTGCAGATTTCTATTGCACGCTGTTGCTAGCGGACACCACGTGCCACGGCCCTGGCTATGCCGTCAACCTCTTTGCTCCACGAGCTGATCAACTGCCGCAAGTTGCCAATGTCGGAGATATTATTCGCATCCACAGAGTGATGGTCAGTAGCTGTAAAAAAAAACGCGTCAACAGACTGATGGTCGGGAACTTGGCAATATGTACTGTCTGCATTCACAGACTGATGGTCAGTAGTAGCTTCGCAATCGTGTTCACAGACTGATGGTCGAAACGATGCCAGGATCACATGACTGTTACTGTCGAATTCTTCGTCTTTTTCGTTCCAGCCCGTGTTCCATCAACCCTTGGATGATTAATCCTGTGTTTCTGCGATTTCAACGTCCCCTTTCTTAAAGATTGACTCCCTCATTATGAACCTCATCCGCTGTACGTAGCTTGCTGCCTTCCCCCTGCTACCTCATGCAGAGCACGGTGATTCACAGCGGTCCTCTGGGCACGGCGCGCACAGGGCTGGGCAGCGCCCACGCTCTGTTCTCAGGGGCGCCAGGCGCGCCCTTGCAGCCCTACTCCTTCTCGCACAAAACCTTCTCACCACTCTCCCGAGGCCACCAGCAGCTTGTGCAGCAGCTCCGGCTCTGGGCGCACGGCTTTAACTTCCTCATCCGTAAGTTGGGGGGAGGGAGACAGGTGGAGTGTTGGGGATTGGAGAGACGGGGGCTGTTATCATGAGAGGTCCCGAAACTTCTCCACGCTCTCCCTCGCCCGACTACCACCAGCAGCTCGTGCAGCAGCTCCGGCTCTGGGCGCACAGCTTCCCCTTCCTCATCCGTATACTGGGGTTATGAGGGGAGAAGAAGGGGAACGTTGTGGGGTACGAGGAAAGCGAAGTTGGTAGCATTCTTCCAAGAATAGATAGCATTTTGTCTGGGAAGAAGCGTTCATATGTGTTCCTGCCTCCCTCCATTCCCCTCCATGGCTTCTGTCAGGTCCACCCACAGCACCGGAGCCATTGCTAACCATCAGCAGCATCGATGCAGACATTGCCTTTGACCTCTGCGTGCAGGTCCGTTTTGCTCACTGTCATGGTTATTGTTACTCATATCTATCCGATATGATCGACATTAGTAATTCTTATGGTATTTCAGTTCGGCCTTTCGTCGGCCACCTTTGCTGTGCTGGCATGAACATCTTTGGATTACTGCCTTGGGGGTTCTGTGTGTGTGGGGGGAGGTGGGGGAGTGGGGTGGGGTTTGGGGGGGGGCATGTGCGTATCTGGATGCCTGTGCATGCCTGTTTTTTTTTATGATAATGTAAGTATACACCGAAGGGCAAGCATATACAAACAAAGCAGTCGTAACCGTGCTTGAGGAGGCAGAAACAGAAGAGAGATCTAGGGCCTGATGGGTCGTGCCCTCCGATGTGACCAAATTGCAGCGAAGCTGTTTGTCCACTTCCAACCTGTGCATGCCTGTGTGCATGCCTGTGTGTGTGCAGGTGTGGCACATAGTAAAGAAGGATCGGATGGTGGTGCTCTTCGTCTGGGATGGCACCGACCTCCCTCTCCCGTCGCTTTCCGCGTGAGTCGTGCTGCCTTCTCTCTGCCTTTCCATTTTCAGGCACATTCATCACCTTTCCTTACAACCAGCACCACTTGCGCTTCCAATCACTCACCCATCACTCTCGCCCATGCTCCACTCCATTCCGTCTCTCTTCCACGCTCCACTCCACTCCACCACTCAATCTCTCCTCCGCTGTCTCTTCTCAATGCAGGCCACCGGCACCAATCCCGTCTAGTCATTCCCTGCATCATGGCCAGCCATTCAGTGCCCCTGGCTCCTCCACCACACCATCCGCACCCCCCAGCTCATCCGTACCACAATCAGCACCCACTGGGCCGCCCACATCATCTGCTGCATCAGCATCGGCTCATGCAGGGGTGCATCCGGCCCCTCCTCCTCCCTGCACTCGCTCAGAGCACCCTCTCTTCGCCATTGGCGGTCGCCCCGCCCCTCCTCTCTCTGTGCTCCAGCGTGTTCCCCCTCTGGGCTCCCTGCTGCCCATTATGTGCCACGTGGACGATCTTCACTGGCTGCTGCACCGCCTGCACCCGTCTGTAGCGAGACAATTGGAGAGGGAGGGAGCAGGGGGGACAGACCGGGCAGGGCACGAGGGGGAAGGGGGGGGCAGAGGTGAAGGGGGAGGGAGGGATGGGGAGGGTGAGAGGACAGAGCGAGACCAGAATGGGGGCCAGGGAGCGGGAGGGGGAGCGGCAGCAGAGGGGAGTGAGAGACAACAAGATGGGGAGGGCGGGGAGGAAGGAGAGGAGGGGAGGGTGGCGGGAGTGTGGCAGCAGGAGGGGGTGGTGCCGTGTTGGGTGCGGCTCAGGAATATCAGAGCCACGTGCCACGGCGCCAGAGGGGGCTGGCTGGGCCTTTTCAACAACTCCAGCCGCCTGAGCCTCGTCAGGGAGTGCTACTCGGACGTTGCACAGCTGACAAGGTAATGCTCATGTTACGGCCTTGCTCACCGTCCATTAGTTTCAAAGAATGATAAGCCACCTAGGCGTAGTTCTGCCTGTGCTCCTAGCGGATTCAATCCCCTTGTTGCACGTAATGGCAAGAACGCATAGAGGGGTTTTTGGGGCACCTGGAGAATCGTCTCATCACGTGCGCTGTCATTCCCCTTGTTGCGCCCACAGCAAGTATGCAGAGAGGGCAGCGAGTGAGGACGCCCACACGCGGATAGGCAACATGGCTCTGTGGGCCTCCATCCACCAGCACACACGTCAGTCCATCCATTGCCCTCACTCCCACACACATGTCAGCCCATTCACCTCCGTTCACCTCTTACCCGCCCAACCAACCCGCTTTCGTTTTCCTCTCTGGGCCACCATTCATTAGAGCACACACACATCAATGCATCACCCATCTTCCGTCATTCCTGCTGCTCTTCGTTTTGTCTGTAATTTTGCTGACATGTATCTGTCCCACGATTTATCATCTCCACTCCACCACCTTTGCATCAAGCTGTCAACGTCCATCTCTGTCCTCTGCTGTACCCTCCTCTGTGCCCTCCTCTGATCCCTCCTCTGTGCCCTCCTCTGATCCCTCCTCTGTGCCCTCCTCTGATCCCTCCTCTGTGCCCTCCTCTGATCCCTCTACTGCGCCCCACTGTTTGACACCAGGCATCGCCCGTTCCCTACAGCCCTACTCCACCCTTCGCCAGATATACACCCATCCTGTGGTGAGTGAGTGGTAACCCGCACCATGCACCAGTATGAGAGAGAGGAGAGTGAGAAAGGGTAAAAGGGAGATGGGGGAGAGTGAGACAGGGGAGAGTGAGATAGGGGATATGTTGCCGCTTCTTATGGCTCATACCTTCTCCTTCCTGTTACACCTTGCACTCCCCTTTCTCCTCTGTCTTCCTTATCACACCAGGTGCCATATCTTATCTTGCCATTTCTCCTCTTTGTCTTGTTGTCCGGCTTCCCCCCCACCCCACACCAGGTGCCGTATCGCTTCCGCTGTGCAGCGAGAGTGATCTTCGCCTCTGCCATCCACCCCGCCCGCTTCACTGCCTTCGTCCCGCACAAGCCTCGCTCCCTCTCCTCCACTCCTGCCCCCCCACGCTCCTCCACCTCCATACCTGCGCGTTCCTCCACTCCTCCGCCTGCTGCTGCCACGTCTGCTGGTGCTGGTGCTAATGCTGATGCTGGTACTGGTGGTGTTGCAACGGAGGGGAGGGTGGAAGGAGAAGGAAAGGAGAAACGGATAGGAGAGGAAGGTGCGGAAGGGGCACGTGGGAAGAAGCGCAAGGGAGAGGATCATGCTGACGTGGCAATGAAGGATGGTGCTGACGTGGCGAGACAGGAGGGGGCTGATGTGCCGCCACAGGAAGATGCTGAGGCTGATGTGGCAAGGGAAGGAGTGGGGAAGGGGGTGGAAGAGGGAGAATCAGGTGGTTTGGGGAATGCAGCAGAGACAGCTGAGACATATGAGGGAGTGGGGAGAGCAGCATCGGGAAAGGAAGGGGCATCAGGAAAATCAGGTTCTGGGGTGAAGAGGAAGTGGGCGGCAGGGCTTGTCCTGGTGCTGGAGGATGCCACAGGGCGGCTACTCGTCCGCCTCGCCTCACCCAATGCCGTAAGGAACCTCCGATTTCCCATGTCCAATCTTGGGGTACAAAGGTGCACCTTGCTCCTCGTTCGTGCTGTACAACCAAAATAGTCTTTGCAATCAAACAGCCTTGACTTTCTGCCTGGCTGCCAGTTGCTTAGCACACCTCCCAACCCAAACATCTTCGTCACTGACTTTCATTGCTCATGCACTCCTTGATTTGTTCCTTGACTCGCAATCGCTCCTCTTGGCCTTCTTGAAGGTCTGGCTTCCAGCGACCACAATAGTTTTGAAGTCTAGGACATGGTCAAACTCCTTGCCTTGTCTTGCCTTGTCTCTTGTCTGTCGTGCCTTTCTTCCTTTCCCACCCCCAATCAGGAGGTATTCTTTTCAGCAACAGCAGAGGATTTGCGCAAGGATGCAGCGGTGTCTGTGAGGGCAGCTGCAGGCATGGCTATGCTGCTGGGTGTGCCCAGAGACCACGGGCAGGATACAGGAGTTGAGTATGGACAGCAAGCACATGCAGGGGTTGAACGGGATGCGGTGCATGAGAATGAAGATGCACGGGTGGAACGGGAAGCACGTAGTCCGCCGTCGATTGACTGTTGTGTGTTCTCGTACCACCATGTGAGGAAAGATGGACTGCCAGGAGAGAAGATGTTTCAAATCTTCCAGACCAGGTTATCGACCCAACACGATGGTGCATGACATGCTCTTTTGGTAATGAGCCTTGCATACGATGGCGTCCATCAAGGAATAGGATTAGGTAATGTTCCATCTCACAGCCTCGCACACTGCAGGTGGAAAAGCATCATCATGATTTTGGTGTTGTGTTGTCTAATATTGAACATACAGTAATGAATGTTGGTTCTTACAACAGTACAGTACCAAGTCCTCCCCATTCTTCCCTCATCGCTTCAGCCTCTGCCAGATCTTTGCGCTAGCCCGGCTGGGCTTTGGAATTCCGCGAGCCCTTGCCTGGGCGGACCTTGGGATCTCAGCTCACCACTACTACGATTGCAGCATTCATCCATTATCAGCGCACATTGGTGGGAATCTCAGGCTGTGTAGGTCGGAGATTAGGATCTAGGTCGTCTGCACCTCACCTCTGACACACTCTCTCGTTATCCACGTCTGACGCGTGCCGCGCATATTTAACCTCTCGATCGCTTCGTAAAGCGGCTGCGAAAGCGATGGCGCCGCGCGTGCTTTGCCTGCTGGCTGTGATGGCGATCTCGCTGGTGGGATGCCTCGCATTCTCGGAGGAGCGTCCGACGGATCAGCGCATCCTCGTGCTGCTGGACGATCCCAAGAATAAGGACTCCTACTCTATCTTCTTTAAGAATCTCGCAGGTAATTACGCGCGTCGCCGATAGTCACGAATCATGGAGATTCACAGATGCTCCAGAGGACCGTTTTTTTGAAGAGCTTCCAGTCAATGAGGAATTTATTTTGTTTTCCTGTTGGAATTGAGACGTTCGCATTCACCTAACAGTACGGATTGCGCTAGATCTTGGGTTTCCGCATTACAGCAGCATGTTTTGCAGATCGAGGGTCGTAAAGGTCCCATTTTTGTCACAGAGCGAGCATACGGCGACAGTCCCGTAGCATATGAGGCTGACAATAGCTGACGAACAAGTCGGCGACACTGACTTAGTTTTCTGAACCGCCGACACTGACGTAGATTACTGAGTTGGTGACACCGCAATAGTTTCCTGTATCCGCGACACGGAAATGGCTTACTAAAATTTGCGACGCGGACACAGCTTACCAAATCGACAACACTGACACGGCTTACTGAATAGGTGACCCTGACAAATGTGACCGAATTAGCGACACTCATGGTTCAAAGAATATGCCCGTCATCTTTCAAGATCCGGCCGCGCATTACGATACGATCCCCATCGGCCAGTCTCATATCCACTATTGCGCCATCTCGACTCATCATAGTGCATTTAGCATTCACGAAGATCCCATCTCGTGGCCTGTCGCCTTGTAGCTTTCCGCTGACGTCACCATCATTCACGGCCAGCGTCTCATATGAAACCTCCTCTTTTAACTCTCGCCATTCCTCGGTTTCCCCTGCCTCTCCCCTCTCTACGTCCTGGTCCTCCGTTCCCCGCAGATCGCGGGTACGAATTGGATTTCCGCGCGGCGAGGGATTCGAGTCTCGTGCTGCAGAAGTACGGCGAGTACCTCTACGACGCAGCCATCATCCTCGCGCCTGAAGTCTCGTGTACGTCTCGCATCCTCACTTGTAAATGATTAAATCGTGTAGTAAGGGTGAACGAGTACCTCTACGACGCCGCTATCATCCTCGCGCCCAAAGTCTCGAGTACGTCTTGCGCAATACGTGAAGGTTTTTTTATATCTTGCTTTAAGGTGACGCGATAGTACCTCTACGACGCCGCCATTATCCTCGCGCCCAAAGTCTCGTGTAAGTCTTCTGTCCTCGCTTGAGAATGATGAAATCATGTTATATTGCGTTCGCACGTGTCATGATAAACTCCCGCTCTACACGAGTACCTCCACCACGTCGCTCTCGTCCGCTACCGCATGTCGCACGCATTGTCGCACACGCTGCTCCGCACCCATATCACCACGCGTCACTCATCCCTCCTCCAACATTTCCCAGCAGTTGGCCGCGTGATCGACGTGGCGGCGATCCTTGACCTCATTGACTCCGGCTGCAAGTTCAAGATCGCTGTTTCTTCCTTGGTGCCTTTTCCCGCGCCCCATCTTCCCCATGCTCGCAATATCCCCGTGCCCCTCGTTTCGCAGCATTCGGCGGCGTGGTGGACGTGGCGGCGATCCTTGACTTCGCTTACTCGGGCCACGACCTCATCCTTCTTTCCTTCATCCCCTCCCCCTCCCCCACCTACCCCGTGCTCCCACCTTTTCCGTTCTTTGCAGCATTCGGCGGCGTGGTGGACGTGGCAGCCATCCTCGACTTCGTGGACTCGGGCCACGACCTCATCCTTCCTGTTTCCTTTATCTCCTCCCCCTCTCCCATCGCGCTCCTGTTTTTCGTGCTCCCGTTTTCCCGTGCCCCTCATCTTGCAGCATTCGGCGGCGTGGTGGACGTGGCGGCGATCCTCGACTTCGTGGACTCGGGCCACGACCTCATTCTCGCGGCGGACAGTGGCGCATCCGACACCATCCGCGATATCGCGCTCGAGTGCGGCGTGGACCTCGACGAGGTACGTGTTCTCGCCCTCTCACGTACATGATTGACGCTATCTGCCATATAGTTCTAGTGTGCGGCGTGGATTCGGACGAGGTATGTGCTGACGCGCCTCACGGGTCTCACTATTTCCATTCGCGACATTGCGCTCGAGTGTGGCGTGGATCTTGCCAAGCCATGCCTCTCACGTCTCTGACTGATCCTTTCCGCGATCTTTCGCTGGAGTGCGGTGTGATTGGCAATGAGACGAGGTATATGCTGCTGTGACTCACTTTTCCAACTCCATCCGCGATATTGTCTGATGCGATTGCAGAACCCCAAGGGCGTGGTGATCGACCACCAGCAGTACGCGCGGGTGAGCGGGCGCAGGGACGACCACACGCTCGTGCTCGGCAGCAACCTCATCAACTCCTCCGTCATCCTCGGCGCCGCTCCCATCAAGGTATGCTCTGCTGGAATACCCTTACCATCCCATTGGAACCGTGTAAAGGTGGCTTCTATCCGGCTGATTGTTCGTTACAATTTCTTGTGGTGGCATCTCCGTCTCTTTTGCATGCAAACGGGATTTGGTTTTGCTTCAATTGTCGTTCCTCTCCGTGTTTCTCTCCTCCACCTTCACTCTGCACCGCTCTTTCTTCCTCTGCATTCCCACCCTCCGCATGGTTGCACCACAGGGCCCCGTTCTCTTCCAGGGGATCGCCATGACAGTCTCGCCCACGTCCGAGCTGGTATGCCGTTGCTCCACGCATTCTTTCAGCAATCCCACGCCCTGCTTTTCCCCCTCCGGTGCCCCATGGCACATTTGCGTGGTATCCGTTTTTGCCTCTTCTCTATCAGACCTCTGAGACGCAGAGCCCGCTGCATTGCTGCATTGCTTCTTTGCTGCTTACCCCTCTCTCCTATCCTTCATCACGCCACCACCTCCAGCTGCTGCTGGTGCTCTCGGGCGCCTCATCTCCTCCCACCCCATTCCACCTCTCCCCACCACGCCATCAGCTACTGCTACTGCTGCTGCTGCTGCTGATGATACTGCTGTCTTGGTTGTGCAGCATCTCTGCATGCGCCAGGGTCCTTGTGTTACAAGTCGATTGTTTGATGGGATTCCTTCCCGTTTCTCCCCTTCCCCGCCATCACGCCATCATGCATCAAGCATTGCTGGTGCTGTCCGGCTCACTTACAACCTACGCAGCGGCCCCAACTGCCGCTCTCAAGGACCCCAGTGCTCCTCTCTCGAGAGATTCTTACAGGGAACTCCCTCCCTGTCTTCCCCCCCCCCCCCTATTCCTGTCCCTCCATACGCCATCAGGTGGTGCCGGTGCTGTCGGGCTCCCCCACAGCCTATGCAGCGGACCCAGCAGCCACTCTCAAGGAGCCCCCCTGCGCTCCTTTTGAGACATTCTTACCGAATATTCCCCTCCGTACCCATGCGCTTCCCTCCGTGCGTCATCAGGTGGTGCCGGTGCTGTCGGGCTCCCCCACGGCCTATGCAGCGGACCCAGCAGCGGCTCTCAAGGAGCCCCCCGCGCTGCAGGGCAAGGCGGTGTCGCTGGTGGCAGCCATGCAGGCGCGCAACAACGCGCGTGTTCTCATCTCTGGGTCGCTTGCACTCTTCACTGACAGGTGCGTGCCTGTTGCTATTTCTGTTCTCTCGGTTGACCTTGTGCCATGTGTCTCTCCCCGCCACCATCTCTCCCTTTCAAATCCTGTGCATGTGACAGTTTCAGAAAGCGGGTCTAACGTGCTGACCATCTGCTTCACACTTATCTTGCTAACCCTTTCCTGCCTTCCCCGTCTCTCTCCTCACTGTCTCTTGCCCCTCCTTGTTATCCCCTTCAGTTTCTTCCGTGCAGTCGTGGACGTGTCTGCTACCTCTGCCGACCCTGCCTCACAAAACGCCAAGACCTCCCAGTGGCTCTCGCCGGCCGGCAATGAGCAGTTTGTCACGGAGCTCTCCAAGTGGACCTTCCATGAGAGGGGGCATCTCAAGGTGAGAAGATTGATCAGGTGAAGTTGAGAGGTAAAAGAAGGTTAAGGTGAGAGAGAGTGCATGGGTCTGTACTGGTCAGTGGTGAACATAGCTGCATAGGTACTTGGTTGGTAAAGAATCCAGTTTGAGTGGTCAACATTCCCCTCCCATCCCATCTGCCCTCACCACTGCCGACTCTCCGTTACATCCTTCCAAATCGCTGCTCACTGCTCCATCTTGCACCATCCTCTTCCTTCCATCCCCACGCCCCCACACCCTCAGGCTGTGAATCTGCGGCACAACAAGGCTGGCGAGAGCACGGAGCCTGCCGTCTACCGCGTCTCTGACCACCTGGTATGTTTGTGCTTGCATCGCACTGCACCCAGCTGCGTGTCTGCCCCCCCTCTCCTGGTCCGTTTCACAGCTTCTTGACTGCGTGCTGCTGTCTCTCCTTGCGGCCTGGCAGGGGCATGTAGCAGACGCGTGAGTGGGCAGTAGTGAGTGAACGCCTCTTTCTTCTGTTGCCCCCATCTTCCTGTTCCTCGACATTTCCCTTCTCTTTCCCTTGTTGCTCTGTTGCTCCCTGATAGGAGCTCACTGCGGACATCTTTACAGAATCCACCCCCCTCTATTCTCTCCCATCTACCCTTTTCCCACTCCTTTTCCCCTTGCTCCCTTGCTGCTCCCATGCTCCTGCTGGCAGGAGTTCGCGGTGGACATCTTTGAGTGGGCGGCAGCGAGTGGGTGCCGAAAGTTCTTCTCCCTTATCCTTTTCCCGTCCTTTCTCCACTCCTCCGCGTTGCTCCCATGCTCCCGCTGGCAGGAGTTCGCAGTTGACATCTTTGAGTGGCGGGCAGCTAATGGGCCCACTACCTTCTCTTCCTTGCAATCATTCTTCTTTCCCCAATTCTCCCTTGCTGCTCCCTTGCTGCTCCCTTGCTGCTCCCATGCTGCCTGGCAGGAGTTCGAAGTGGACATCTATGAGTGGGCGGGCAGCGAGTGGGTGCCATTCAAGGGCGACGATGTGCAAGTGCAGTTCTACATGATGAGCCCCTACGTGCTCAAGACGCTCTCGCACGATGACAAGGTGAGTGAGACGCTCTCGCACGATGACAAGGTGAGTGAGACGCTCTCGCACGATGACAAGGTGAGTGAGACGCTCTCCCACGATGACAAGGTGAGTGAGATGCTCTCGCACGATGACAAGGTGAGTGAGATGCTCTCCCACGATGACAAGGTGAGTGAGATGCTCTCGCACGATGACAAGGTGAGTGAGATGCTCTCGCACGATGACAAGGTGAGTGAGACGCTCTCGCACGATGACAAGGTGAGTGAGACGCTCTCGCACGATGACAAGGTGAGTGAGATGCTCTCGCACGATGACAAGGTGAGTGAGATGCTCTCCCACGATGACAAGGTGAGTGAGACGCTCTCGCACGATGACAAGGTGAGTGAGACGCTCTCCCACGATGACAAGGTGAGTGAGATGCTCTCGCACGATGACAAGGTGAGTGAGATGCTCTCCCACGATGACAAGGTGAGTGAGATGCTCTCCCACGATGACAAGGTGAGTGAGATGCTCTCGCACGATGACAAGGTGAGTGAGACGCTCTCGCACGATGACAAGGTGAGTGAGATGCTCTCGCACGATGACAAGGTGAGTGAGACGCTCTCGCACGATGACAAGGTGAGTGAGACGCTCTCGCACGATGACAAGGTGAGTGAGATGCTCTCGCACGATGACAAGGTGAGTGAGATGCTCTCCCACGATGACAAGGTGAGTGAGATGCTCTCGCACGATGACAAGGTGAGTGAGACGCTCTCGCACGATGACAAGGTGAGTGAGACGCTCTCGCACGATGACAAGGTGAGTGAGATGCTCTCGCACGATGACAAGGTGAGTGAGATGCTCTCCCACGATGACAAGGTGAGTGAGACGCTCTCGCACGATGACAAGGTGAGTGAGACGCTCTCCCACGATGACAAGGTGAGTGAGATGCTCTCGCACGATGACAAGGTGAGTGAGATGCTCTCCCACGATGACAAGGTGAGTGAGATGCTCTCCCACGATGACAAGGTGAGTGAGATGCTCTCGCACGATGACAAGGTGAGTGAGACGCTCTCGCACGATGACAAGGTGAGTGAGATGCTCTCGCACGATGACAAGGTGAGTGAGATGCTCTCCCACGATGACAAGGTGAGTGAGATGCTCTCGCACGATGACAAGGTGAGTGAGATGCTCTCGCACGATGACAAGGTGAGTGAGATGCTCTCGCACGATGACAAGGTGAGTGAGATGCTCTCCCACGATGACAAGGTGAGTGAGATGCTCTCGCACGATGACAAGGTGAGTGAGACGCTCTCGCACGATGACAAGGTGAGTGAGACGCTCTCGCACGATGACAAGGTGAGTGAGATGCTCTCCCATGATGACAAGGTGAGTGAGATGCTCTCGCACGATGACAAGGTGAGTGAGACGCTCTCGCACGATGACAAGGTGAGTGAGATGCACATGACAAGGTGAGATGCACATGCATGACCTGATGCGGGGAATGTACCATGCCTCAACAATCGTACTCGCGTGTGCAAGTGCATTTCTGTGCTCAAGACCCTCTCGCACAATGACAAGGTGAGATGCACATGCAGGCCTCCACTATTATACTCACTCGCTCATATTTTCTAAAGACGTTGACACACATGTACGAGGGCAATTGACAATTGTGAATCTGCAACCACATGCTCATACACACACTTCATTCTCCCTCTCCCACCCTCCTTTCCCCTCCCTCTCTTGTACCCTACCCTCCCGCCAACACCCTCCTCCTCAGGGTCGGTTCTTCACATCCTTCCAGGTGCCGGACGTGTACGGGGTGTTTCAGTTCAAGGTGGAGCACAAGCGCCTGGGCTACTCCACCATCTCGCTCGCCAAGCAGGTGAGCGCTTTCAGGCACACACAGGTGACCGGTCGATGATACGCCACTGCCTCCCTCGCGAAGCAGGGCAGCGCTGTCATGAAGCGCGTGGTTGGCGGTGATAAGCACAGGTGATTGTTCTTGGCTACTCCACCATCTCCCTTGCCAAGCACGGCAGCGCTTACAGCAGTCTCACCTTTTATGGCTGCCTTGCGGAAATGCAAGCAGCTGGCTGGTTGTTGCCTTGCCACTCCATGATCTTGCTTGCAAAGCACGTGAATTGAGCCGAGCCCCTGCAGTGCTCCTCATGTCTCCGGTGTCTGCCACACTCTTTCATGCCAAGCCCCAAGCTTTCTCTTCTGCCCCTCGTTTCTCCTCTCGTTCCTCCTCGCTGTTTCTTTCTCCTCTTTCGCCACCAACACATGCCCGAGTTATTTTGCCTCACCGTCAGCCTCACTTCACCTCACCTCACCTCACCTCACCTCACTTCACCTCACCTCACCTCACCTCACCTCACCTCACTTCACCTCACCTCACCTCACCTCACCTCACTGCACCCCTGCCTATCCTCGCAGATCCCAGTGCGCCCCTTCCGCCACGACGAGTTTGAGCGCTTCATCCCGGCTGCCTTCCCCTACTACGCCTCCACCTTCTCCATGGTATGCTGTCTCTGTCTATCCACGCTGTGCCCCACCTTCTCCATGATATGCTGCATAGCCTGTCCATGGGTTGCCCTTTTTCTCCATGATATTCTGCTGCTATCTATTTATTCGATGCCTCGCTTCATCCCGGCCGCCTTCCCCTACTATGCCCCACCTTCTCCATGGTATGCTGCCTCTTCTGCATATGGCTTATCTCCCTATCTTTATTTTTAACAGCCTTCAACCCGCCGCATGCCCTCCCTCCAATACATGCTGCAGTGTAGTGAAGCTCCATCTTCTCTTTGCCTGTCCAATCGTCATGCGTGTCATTCCTCCCTTGATAATTCTCCGTCGCCAATTCCCCATCATCACTATGTTTGTCTCCACCCCATATGCTCTTTTCTAATTCCTCCGTGCCCTTCCATTCCTCCTTCCTGCCATGCCAACCCTCAAATCTTTTTTACCAGATGATTGCGTTCTTTGTCATTGGCTTTGTCTTCCTCTACCACAAGTAAAATCCCCAAAGCCTTTCTGCTGCTGCCACAAGAGTGTTAGATTCCTGGCACCACTTCACAAGCCGAATGTGCCTTGAGATTTGTAGCCCACGTTTGTTTCAGAATGCTGACATGTCTTTGGGCTGCTGGTACACGACTAATATCATTGTTTTTTTTTATATCCTCCCCCTTCAATGTAACTTGAATAACATGATCAGATACTGACTGCATGTATCGTCAGTTGTTGGTTGGTAATGGGCAAAGTATCAGTGTGTGCACACATGTTAGCATTCTCCTAAGGAGTGAGATGTTTTTGTTATTAATGCACTAAAATGTTCTGACTAGTAGAATTCAAAATTCAGACTGATTTGCATATTGCAAGAGCGTCTCTCGCATCGTCACTACAACGCGTAAGGGTGTATCTTGCGGGGGGTATAATTTCTCAACGAAATTCGCTCCTGCGCACTTCTGTCACGCAAATGTACTTTCAGGATCTGCACGAGCTCCTTGGTGAAGGCAGCTTGTCATCGTTGCGAGTATTACCTACTTAGCTTCGCCAACGTTTTCGCTCCTTTCACAAGGAAATTCGCTCTTCCGTCCCTTTCTCCGCTTTCTCCGCAAGTAGTACTCTGTTCGCGCCTGAGCGTCTGAATCCTCCGCATGGAGCTCGTTCCCGCAGACGTAGCTGCTGCGCCCGCCAGCGGCGGGGCGGGCGGCGGAGATCTCGAGGCGGAGTTGGCGGAGATCGGCGCGCAGCTGGAGGCGGTGGCGGCTGTGCGCGACGACCTGCGCGCGGCGGTGCAGCGGATGGACGGGCTGACGCGGCAACTGCAGTCGGACCTTCTGGGCGTGCATCGGCGGCAGGAAGGCGCAGGTGCGTGGAGGCGAGAGCATGAGCGCTGACGCGGCAGCTGCAGTCGGACCTGCTGGGCGTGCATCGGCGGCAGGCAGGCGCAGGTGCGTCGGGGAGGGCGCAGGTGAGGGAAGTTAGGTGATAGGGGATGGGGCGGAGGGACCGCGAGCTGCGCGCGGCGGTGCAACGAAAGGACGGGCTGACGCGGCAGCTGCAGTCGGACCTGCTGGGCGTGCATCGGCGGCAGGCAGGCGCAGGTGCGTCGGGGAGGGCGCGGGTGCGTTCGTGGAACGGAGAGACTATCAGGAAGAGACGGACCTTCTAGGCGTGTTTCGGCAGGTGCGTGGAGGCCAGAGCATGAGCGGAAGCTGGTGGGTGCAGGTGAGACGGGAGGGCCGAGCGACCATCGGTGCGCAGCAGGCAGGCGCAGGTGGGCGGGGGGAGAGAGCATCGAATGATGGCGCCGCCCTTCTCTCCCGCTGAACCATTGTCAACCTTCTTTCCCCAATCCCCATCCCCCTCTCACCCCCCTCACTGCAGCAGGCGATACAGAAGGCGCGGGTGTAGCAAATCTGTACCCATCTGTACCCATCCAAAACCAATCCAATCTTCCCATTGAACCATTGTCGCCCTTCTCTTCCCCACCCTCGCCCACCAATCCCCATCCCCCTCCTCACCCCCTGCAGTGCAGCAGGCGGTGCAGAAGGCGCGGGAGAGCGTGCCAAAGCTGCAGGCGGCCTATGCTGAGCTGGCAGCAATCATTGCTCGCCGCCCAGGCGAGTTCTACAGGTACGTACGTGTGTGTGCTCTCAAGCAAGCAAGCTCGGTTCCAAACTCGACTCAGGCATCTGTTGATTAACATGCAAGTGTCAGGCGGATGTATGCCTATTGCTGGTCTGCATTTGGGGGTGGCTTCTGTGACTCCCTGCATCCTCTTTTTCTCTTGTAACGAGTATGGAATGCTCGTTCGCTTTCCTCTTGCTTATTGTTGTCGCACTCCCCACCTCAGGTTTAGCGACCACTGGCGCAGTCAGAACCACACGGTTGTGTCCCAGCTGGCGTTCGCTCATTGGCTAGACTCTGGAACGCTGCTCTCGCACAAGCAATTACAGGAGCAGCTACAGTGTACGCCACTGTAGAATACGTTTCGATACTGTATAAGCTACTGTAGACTCTGTTTGGGATTTCTGGTATCGGGCTACTGGGTGAGGGCAGTTGTTAGAGAGCCTTTTCATGGTTTCTCTCAAAGGTCCTCCCTGTACACTCAGTGGCTCAAAGGCCCTCCCCGTATGATTAGTGTCTCAAAGATCAGGCTCCCCACCACTATGCTCCCGTCCCCCTCCCTCTCCCACCCCACCCGTGGTGCGTGTCTCGCAGTGCGGGCATCATCGTTCAGCATCGACCTAGAGGACTACCTCACCGGCCTCTGCGGTCTCTCCAATGAATTCGTGAGCTCCACCCTCCTCCACCCTTCTCTACCCCCCCACATCCCCCCATGCACCCTTCCCACCCGTGTGCTCTACTGCCCTCTCATTGCTGCTCGTTGCGTTGTCTCCGTCCCTTGTTCATTGCATGTTCCCTGTATTCTTCAGGGGCTGCGTTGTCTCCATCCCTTGGTCACCGCTTCGCAGCTTCTGTGCCGGAACCATAACGTCACTCGCCCCTTCTCTCTCTTTTCCTTACTTTCAGCCTCGCTTCGAGATGAACAGGGTAACAGCGGGCGACTATGCATGCACTCCTTAAGTGGCGATATTTGAGAATTCCCAAAAGTGGCGACTAAGCGTGCCGTCGAGTGGCAGCTGCATTCCTCAGCAATCTCTTTGCTGCCTCTCTGCTCATGCACCTGTCCCCCCTCTGTTTTTGTTCCGACCCCCCACACCAGCCGCGCTTTGTGATGAACAGGGTGACAGCGGGCGATTACGCTGTCCCCCGAGTGGCGGCCGCCTTTCTTAACGACCTCTTCGCTGCCTTCCGCAAGCTCAACCTGCACAACGACATGTTGCGGAAGCGATTCGACGGTGGGTGATTAGAGTCACGTGGGCGGAAATAGATTAGATCTGATTTTATGGGGCACGTGACTGCCTCTTCGCTGCCTTCCGCAAACTCAATTTTCGCAAGCGACATGCTTCGCAAGCGATTCGACGGTGCGTGGTTAAATGGGGCGGAGTGGTATTAGATTTGACTCCATCTATTCAGATTCAGTAGGGGCACATGACTGCCTCTTTGCTGCCTCCCGCAAGCTCAACGTGCGCAACGACATGTTGAGAAAGTGATTCGACGGTGGGTGATTAGAGTCACGGTTTAGGGTGGTGGAGGGGGTGGAGGGGGTGATACACCACGTGGAAATAAGGCCAGGGGGGCTAACCAGTAGTGCATCTGTCAAGCCCCTTGGGAATCCGCTGTCTCTTTCTGTGTGCCCCCGATCCCTCCATGTCTTTCACATGCCTCCTGCTGTGCCATGCCCTGCAGGCATCAAGTACGACCTAAAGAAGGTGGAAGAGGTGGTGTAAGACGTGGAGATACGAGGGCTGGTGGTGCAAGGAGGGCATGTGTTCCTTATCCCTCCCATGTCCCTTATCCCTTCCGCCGTGCCATGCCCTGCAGGCATCAAGTACGATCTGAAGAAGGTGGAGGAGGTGGTATATGACGTGGAGATAAGAGGGCTGGCGAGAACAGCAGCAGAGCCCATGCAAGACACATAGCGACATTGAGCGTGCAGGTTACTGAAATTGTACGGTAAATGAAAATGCAGCACATCAGCTGACAAGGCACCTCAAGAGGTCACATCACAGGTGAAAAGTGGCACAGGTTCCTTGTACGTTACTTTAATTCGATTTCAGGGAAATATGAGATCATCTTAGGTTTATAAAGTGTACTTGGAGCAGTTAGGTTATGGCATCAGATGATTAGAGTCAGTGTGAAGCAATGAGCCCTCACTCCCCCAATTCCACCACCTCTCCTACCCAATCTGCCTATTTACCTAAAGAATCGCTTTGCACCTTCCACGCTGTTGCAGCTTCCAGAACCCTCTCCTCCCCCATCTGCATGCCAACCTGTACAATCGACACATTCTCGTATAAGTCGGCTGGAATAAGCACACAACCAGGCGCAGCAGCAACTCCACTGCCTGTATTGGCACGCAGAGAATGCTGTCAAATGGCACACCAGTGCTTGCAAGCGCAGCCCTGCCGAACCTCACACAGGGAACGGAGCAGTCAGGCAGGCACGGTTCTGCATCGCCATCCACCCTCTCCAAATCCAGATTCTGCAGGTTCGGCAGCTGCCTGGGTGCAAAGTTCAGGTGACTTTTCAGGTTGCCCAGGGAATGCAGGGTGAGCGTGTGCAGGGCAGGGAAGGAGAAGTTTTCTGGGAGAGAGGAGATGAGCGGGCAGTTTGAAACTTTCAAAACGGCGAGGGACACTAGGCCCGGGTGTTGTTCGGCGCTGGAATCAAAGACAGGGATAGATACAAAGGCAGGGGGCGATGCAGAGGCAGAGACAGAGGCATAGGAAGAAGCAGGGGCAGGGGCAGAGGCAGCTGTATAAAGGAACAGGAACACCAACAGTGCGGCAGCAAGCAGCATGGCAGGATAGAGCCATGCAATGGGCAGCAGAGACATCAGCAGCACCACCACAACAAGAAGCAGAGACGCAACGAAGGCGATGGCACTCCCGCTTCTAGTGCCAGCGAAGGCGAGCATGGCAGCAGGGACAAGCAGCACCGAAGTTCTGATGTACTGTGCGGTGGAGAGAGCTATGAGTACTTGCACGGTGAGCAGCAGCAGGGAGATGAGCAGCATCACAGCAAAGACTACAGCAATGCAGAGTGCAGCAGTGATTGCCTTTTCTGCCGGACTGTAAGATTCCGTCTCACTTGAACTTCCCACCCTTTCATACCCGTCAAAGGGGATTGGAGGGGTCAGCGGCTTCAGAGACTCTATAAGGGAGCATGAATCGATATGGAGTGATTCTAAACGAGTCAGCTTGTACAGTGAGTGGGGGAGCTCCCTTAGCTGCTCGGAGTTGGTCAATCTCAGCTTTCCCAGGCACGCTGGCAGGCTGCTTTCACACAATCCCTCGGGCAGATGCTCCAGCGCAGGCAGGTCCAACCCAAACGTTTTCAACCGGGGTAAATTACCCAGGCTGTCGGGCAGAGCCCGGATATTATCCAGGTGGAGGAGCTTTAGGGTTTGCAGATGGGACAAGGCGCCGATGTGGTGTGGGAGTGAGGTGAGGGAGGAGCAGGAGGAGATGGAGAGGGAGGAGAGAGGGAGGAAGCAGATGCTCTCTGGGAGAATCCCGAGGGAATCGCAGGCGTGGAGGGAAAGAGACCGCAGCTGCGTTAGCCCCGCCATAACATTTTCGGGCAGGCATTCTAAATTCTCTGAATGGATGGAAAGGGTTTTCAGCCAGGTCAGCAGCTGGAATGATTCCGGAATGCACTCGAGCCCGTCCAGTTCGATTTCCAGGCTTTCCAGCCGAGCCAAGTCGCCTATCGCATCGGGAAGCCTCGTGATGGTTCTCGAGGAGTGAGTACTGATACTCAACTTGCGGAGGCTACTAAGGCGACCCACGCACTCCCCAAGTCCCTGGAAACCGGTTCCCGCGCTGATCCGCAACTCCCGCAGCTGCTGCAGCGCGCCGATGCTCTCGGGCGGCGAAACGAGCTCCTGTAACGAGTCATCGCCATAGAGAGGATGAACGCACACGTGGAGGTTTTGGAGATCCGTGAGGAGCGAGACAGATGGCGGGAGATGCCGCAGGCGTGCAGGTGGTGGTGGTGAGCAGGCGAAATTCCCTAAGCTTGCGGCATCCACGGAAGAGGGAGGCGAGGCCGTCTACAGTAACCACCATGTGAAACTGATGCTCCACCATTAGATGGCTCAGGCTCGGACACGTGGCGGCGAGACATTGGAAGAGCGCGTCACCATCGGCGGATAAGATGGAAAACTCGCCCAGCGACACGTGCGTGAGGTTGGGGAAGCGGCGCAGCGCGGAAAGGAGGCGTGGGAGCGGGAGCCACGCAAGCTGCTTGTTGCGGAAGTGCTCGGAATCATGCATCTCAATAATGGTAATATAATTTGGTTTAGGTCCGCGATGCTGAATGGTCAAATGAGAGAGCGCGGACGTGGCGAGGCGGTACCAGCGCTTGGAAACGATCGCGTGGCGGAAGGAGGTCTGCGCGAGCGAGCGGAGGACGAGTGCGAGAACATCGTCGGGGAGGCGCTCCACGGGGAAGGGTGGCTCGGCGCGCGCGGGTGAAACCATGGTATTCAAGCGACTAAGGAAAGGGACTAACGCCATCGCTTGGACGTTTAGAGACGTCCCTAATCAGGCGAACGAGGGAAAACGGTAAAGCGGGGACATATCTGCTGGCCTGGTATGGCAGCTTGACTAATAAAATGTCACGTAAACACTACAGTACTGAGACCGCTTGGTTGGGAAAAAGTGCGGATGATGGGATGAGAGCAGGTTGGTTTGGGCAACGGCAGAAACGGATGGATCAGGAATTTTGGGGTCAGGTTTGTTGTGGGCTCGGCGCGCAGCGCCGTGAGGTGCTATCGGGGGAGTCAACAAGGTGGGGGAATTGAGTGACGAAACACGACGACAAAAATTGACTTGAGTCAACTCTGTCCGTCAATGTCTCCAAGGGAATCCGTTGAAGGGAAAATTTAGATTACCTAATTCTGAAAGGAAAAATCATTTTCCTTACATCGCGTCCCTGCTCAGCGCGTACACCACTGTTTACCGCCAACAGCACCCCACAATAATCCGTTACCACTCGCGACATTCACCTCTACACTATTCCTGCCACTGTTCACGACGCGACCCAACCTCACGGTTCGGTTGGTAACCCGCGCTCCGGACCTCCGCCTCGACAATCCCCAACCTCGGCACTAGGCCCGTCGCGCAGCCCGTTTTCACACGTAACCGTTACCACTTTAGCTTCGCTATATATTCTTCGTTCAATCCTTCGCTCATTGTATTCTTGTCTCGATAGTGCAATCCTCGCTCGCTCACTAAATTGCACTCGTAACAAATTCTAAAACACGTCCAATGTGTAGTATATTCTCATAAAAGTAGCTTCAAGCTGCACACTCATATGGAAGGGACCAATGAAAGGGAGAATATGCCACTCATAATCAACAAGGGTCTCGATAATATGTTTGGTAAAAAAAATACGGGTACGGTCACTGCAACGGGTGTTTTCACGTGTTTGATAAAACGTTTCACGGAATCAGTCACAATCAACTGGGAAAAAATAACGTGAATGGTCATAGATGAAACGCTCGCCCAAAAAAGATAATACCCAGAACGAACCTGGATGCGTTTTGGGATGAATCAACCCTAAACACAACCCGCCAGGTGTTTAGGGTTGATCCGTTCCCAAACCGCATTCGATTCCGATTGGGTTTTAGTATTTTGAGAAATTAGCTGATTAGTTGGGCGCTTCCCACCCACTCCCCCGTCCATCCACCAGTCCCCTCCTTCCGCCCACCTCCCTGCTGCTCCCACTCCTCCGTCAACTCAAAAGTCCGCCCCGTCCCTTCGCCAGTCCTCTTATCGTTCCGCCCCCCCTTCCCATGATCCTCCCACTCCCCCGCCTGCCACGCTCGCTGCCGCGCCTTCTCGCAATAGTTCACACAAGCTCCCATCGCCACGGTCAAGCCAACTCCTTTTGTCACAATCACACCAGATGCTTTCGCCACAGTCACAGCAGTCGCACCAGCGCCCACTCTCCCCTCTGTCTTCCCCAACGGACCCACAGGGCTCGCCAGCGCTTGGAGGCTCGGCGGAGCTTCGGCATAAAAGTGACTATATCGGGGGGCACATGAAGGAGGGGAACAGCGAAAGCGGCAGTGAGGGCGTAGCTAGCATGGCATGTGACTATAACGAGCCGCCAGCTGTCAGGCCTCGCCTGGTGTGGTTGGTACCAGCAGCCAGCAGATCGTTCACGTTCGGCGATCAATATAAACGCGCCCTCGCTTTTGCTGCTACTGCTGAGATTGATGGTAACAGGGTAACCAGCAGCGGTGCGAGCAGCAGGGAAGGGGCTGCCTTCGCCAGCCGTCTGGTAACCAACAAGTGGGTAACCAGTGATGGGATAACCAGCACTTGGGTCGATGCTGCGGAGGAGGGGCAGGGAGGTGAACCCGAGGGGACGAGGACTAGCAATACCTCCCTCAGGGCTGAGGCTCGAAGCATTGACGGGTATAATAAGCGGTTCAAATCGCTTAGTGCGAATCACTTCGTTATCACCTCCCCTGGTGACTCTGAAGAGGGTGATTATAACGACGGTGGTGGCATTCGCGTGATTTTTCACCCGATGTTAGTGACTGAATCCGTGACCCCACTTACCAAACCTGTCAGCAAACCCGATACAGTGACCGTACGCGTTAATTTTTTACCATTCACGTTATCGAGTCCCATGTTGGTTACTTGTGACATATTTTCCCCCAATGAAATGCAATGTGTATAGTCACATTCATTGC